TTTCCCAGTCCCTTAGCGCTTCTTTAAATCGAGGTTCCACTGTACATTATCATAAGGCAGAACCCAATATCTTATAATCCCGCATACCGTACTAATTTCCCTTCAAAGCTTTCTTTTCTAGCTCCCGCTGCTAATCACATTTGCTATTCACGTCACCCTGTGAAGTCAGTCAAGGCGGTCAGAATTAATCAATGTTCTTCCCTCTCATTCACGACTAAAAAGCACAATATCAACTTTCAAATAAGTTAGTTCTATGCATTGAGTTAATTTCGCCCGACTGTTTTTTTCCCGGTTAGTAAGACTTACAGATATTCTCTTCCGATTACTGGTAAGCCGAAGGTGACGCACCGGCTTGAAAACGCAGACTGTTTAATACAGCTGTTTCCGGTTGCCTTCGCCCGAGCAGCTGACGACCCACGTAAGGAAATAAATCAAAACACGCAGGCTGTCTTCTAACCAGAAAAGATTCTCACGATTAATGGAAGCAAGCCTGGGCTTAGTGTGCACCTTGGAATTTGAACTTTAAAATACTCGAGCCATGACGGCTGCTCGCTCAGGCTGACTCTTTCCTTAGCTTGCTCCGACAAATGCGTTTTATTCTGGACATTAAACCTTTGCTGAACACCCAGAATAACTCAATTTGGGCCAAACTTTTTGCCTGACACTTACTTGCTGAGTGCAGAAAAACTCCTGTTTATTGATTTGTCACTTACAAGATTTTTTTATCAGATTACTTCTGACATGACAGTGATGTGAAGCAAAGTCAAAACATCTTCAATATATTACAAATGAACAGTTTTTTAAAAAAGTTTTAAAGTTTTATGTAATAAATGTTCTAGCTTTGAACTTTGCCACGAAATGTCACCCTGGATCTCTTCCGATATCGAAAATAATGAATACGAAAAGATAATTCTCGATTAACTCGAAAGTAATGGTTGAAATGCTTTTTCTCACTTCACTGAGGGTCTGAAAAAGGCGTTATCAAACTCGCACTCCACCGCTGTTCTTAACGCAATGAGAATTTTCATCCCGATCGCGCTTGGCTAAAAACCAAGTCACGGTCACCTGGGCGTAACGTCGTATCTAAATTGATGGATGGTATACACAACTTCCATATTACCAAAAATATACCCCCCTCCCCCCTCCCACAAATAACGATTCACTTAGCTTAGATGCCTAGGTTCAATTAGACACAAGAAGGCCACAAACATTGGATTAACCTGTGTGAGAATTATACGCTCGCGTGCACTTCCATTATTTGCTAATGATGTTGAAAAGACACTAACCGTTTCGCTCAGCAGAGCAGCAAATGCGATGTAATGAAACTATTTCTTCGCTGTGCTTTACGCAGTACAAGTGAACGTTACTGTCAGCAAACACAGGTGCTGGGAATTCTAGAGAGACAACTGATCTCCGGATCCTGGCGGGATAAACTTAAAGGCCAATTTTCAACCTTGATACAACGCATCATCGAGATAACACGCGTGATCAGCATGTGAACACCTCATTGGGTCACAGTTAGTTGTCATGGTGTTGAGGGCCCAATGATCACTGGGTACTATTGCGCAATTTTTCCATTTTGTGGCGGAGGAAAAAAAAAAGACGACAAAAAAACAAAGGCATTTTATGACTAGGCTGCCACAGGTATCCCAGTAAATAGCTTTTGCGTTTTCTCCGATCAATTTGAGGAGCTTGTCAAAATAATTCTGGTTAAAACAGTTCTATACGTTTTAATCCGGCATGGAATCAGATGAATCCATTGATTTTGTAGATTCCGAGGTAGTAAACGCTTATGGATCGGTTGTTGCTAAAGAGGAACACGAAAATCCTTGTGAGTATTTCGAAGAAGGTGAAAGTATTGATCCACCAAGTTTTCATCCATTCATCAATTTTTTTTAATTGAAGTTTGCCATCCTTGTTAAATAGGACCAAGGGTCAGTTGAAGTTTCCTGCCCGTGGAGAGGAGCTTGTGCTCGAAAGAGTGGTCGTGGTTATTGTCCGTGCAAAGCAGCAAATAAGAATTGTAACGCAAACTGTCAGTGTCGCTGACGTTCCTGCAATGAAGTGACTAAACTTAAAATAATTAAACGTCTGGCAGTCCGATATTTTTTCCATATTTCTCTTCGAAATCCAAAAATATTTAAACGAAAATGTTCTAATTTTATTTAAAATCCTCAAGCGCTTCCAGGCAGCCTAAAATTTCGAACTTGATGTTTTTCGCTAACCCTGTATACAGAGTACGAAGCCATCCAAACGCTTGACACTTAAAAACTTTTCAACGGACACGGCTGGACATGGTCCTCAAATAACTCCATATTTCTCTCTGAAATATACCAATTTTTCGTTGGAAGATATTCTACCTTCATTTACAATCGTCAAACGCTCTGGAAAGTGGAAAAATTCCAACGTTGTCCGTTTCACTGACCTTGTACACAGAGTGCGAAGAGATCCAAGCAGTCTGATATTTTTCCATATTTCTCTTTCAAAAATACCAATTTCTATTGGAAATATTTTATCTTCATTTAGAATCTTCAAGCGCTTCTAGAAAGTGAAAAAAATTTGAAAGTTGTCCTTTTCGCCGACTCTGTTCACAGAGCACGAAGAGATTTAAGCGTGACACTTAAAATTTTCTTCGGATTCTTCCGGACAAAATTCAAAATACTGTAAGGAAACTGTAAAATGACGAACGGCGTAAAACAGTTGACTTTATGTCCAGGATGGCTCTTGAGAAAGACGATTTTAGAAGGTTTTCAGTGACCTGGGAATTTCGTGTTACAGGAAATTGGGTCGCGGCGCGCGTTGCACCAAGGTTGGAAATGGGCCTTTAAGGAAACGAGTCTCAGTCTCAGGCGGCCCAAGCTCACGTCTCAAGAAAAAGTAAACGATTAATTCATGAAAGCGTCACGCGTTGTGTGTCTCGGTGTTAGAGCGTTTTATAACAGGAATAACAGTGATGGAAAAACAGGCTTAAAACGGCAGAAATCGCCAGAAACTACAGCGGACACACAAGATGTGAGTAAGTTCGATTTATTTTACGTGTAGAATGTTCATATTTCGAAATATTTATCGTTGTAAATCGACCATATTTCGTTCCCCAGACTATTCCTTATAACGTGTTTAAGGTCTCAACGGTTCCTCTCGCATAAACTTAACACTGAGTCACACAACACGGGACTCCTTCATGAATTAATCGTTTGCTTTTTCTCGAGACATGAGCTTGGGCCACCTGTGGTCTCGCCGTCAAATTATCACCCCAAATCTTGCTTTAAAAGTATTTCATATCTCATATACCACCAAGATATCCAGCCCCATCCTACATCCCATAAAATCTATCTTGACCCCTCTTTTTAGGAGATAAGAGCTGTGAAGGCTCGGACGCCGCGACTCGTTTTATCATTTTGCAGGGCGTGAAATTAATTTTATTTCTGATAGCCACTTGGCTCCTAAATTCTTCAAAGTGGTAGCCAATTCAAAAAAAGTTGGTCGCCATTTTCAAAGACAAACAAAACCTTTTTTTTACGCACGTTTTAGATAGACCCTCCAAAATTAAGTTAGGGGAAAGATCTCTAACGTGCTACAAAGTGGACACTAGGATGGATGATATACAACGTTCAAGCTCATCTAAATCCAAGATAGCGTCCAGTTATCCGTGATAGATAGCGTCCAGTTATCGATCGAGATGCATGTGCTGCGTTTTGGAAACAAACTTAACGAGGAAGTTTGCCGCGGATTTCTCTTTGCAAATCTTTTTAATTCACTATATCTCTTGGTAAGGTTATGATGAAATATTCCAGTCGCCAATTTGGAGACTAATTTTCAGGATTTGGCCACGAAAGTGAAAAATTTAGTCGCATTGGCGCCTGAATTAGGCGCAATTTCACGCGCTGTATTGGAACTAGGTACAAGGTCGCCTTCTGAAGTGTTTACAAATTCAAAATAATTTTCAACCATCATTGCAAACCGCACAGCTGATCTCGTAAATTTCGATAATTTCTTTCAATTTCAAAAGGAAAAAATGTCGTCGGAAAAAATGGTGTATTCCACGGTTGCAGCAAGGACGTAATCAATTCCAACTCGTATCTAAAATGGAAATCATGGTAAGTATTGTTGCTGGATATCCATTTCAATATTTTCACGCATGGAATTGGACACTTTACATCCAAATGAACAAATGATTATTCTTTGAATGTATACTTTTCCTTTTACTTCTGTGCTCGCCAAACGGAAATTTTCATTCTTCATTATAAGGGTTTTGTTTCACTACGATTGTGAGGCCGATAACATTGCAGACGCCAGCGAAATCCTGTGTCGTGCAAACGTAGAGAAGGAACATTTCCTGTGCCAGCTTAATTCAGTTACGCTTGGAAAAATCGTTAGCGACATTTGGGGAGAAAAGGTGAAATGGGTTCAACGTGAACCGCGTACGCAACGGAAAGCTTTCTACCAAAACCACAAGATAAAAGAGTTAATCGCATCGCAAACACTTCCGGAGGCGAATTCGATTGGCCGATCGAAACAATGGCCTCTTGGTCGATTCGACCTGAGGGGACCCGTGGTTCTAAAACAATTTATTGATGATGACTGACGGTGTGGTCCCTGGCGAGGTTCAGTTTGAAAAGGATTTAGGGCTACCAAGCTGGTTTTCAACGGTTGTGTGTGTACGCGGGCTTTAAGAAACCTCTAAACTGGAAATTTTTGAGGCAAACTGCGGCTCAGCGTCAGTTGCACGGAGAAGATTGAGTTTGTAGTGAATTTAAGTGAAACTACAGTATATGTACTTGGATTCTGCGTCGGATCGGATTTGTGGCCGCCCGGTCATTTTGCGCTGGGATTTTTCGCTTCTTGGATCGGGCGTTCGGAAATGTAGTATTCAGCGTTGGGCTTTTCTTATGTACGTGGAAAACCTCGAAATGGACAACTCGCTTAAATGGGCTCTTTTCATCAAAGTAAACGGTCAGATAAGAAGCGATAGACTTTGGAAGTAAGGTGAGGTATTTTTATTGAGAATTTGACGTATTTTTTTATTCCTTAGAGCGGTCGTAAATATTCCCACACAAACTCTTATAATTCTGCCATGATTGTTACCGCGCTAGATGATCATCTCAGAGCTGGAGCTTGGGCCGCCTGTGCTCTACGTAGAAAAAAACACTCACATAGTGAAAAATTACAGTTAATTGTATATCTAAAACAAGAATGGAAGAAATAAAATAATAAAAATTAACTCCTTTACACGCGCCGAACTGAGTAAACTGAATACAATGTTTTGAAAAAAAAAAATGAGATTGATAAATCATTGACCAAGATCGAATTGGAGCCCAGAACCATCCAGTCTGCTCAGCACTTCTTTTTCAAACCTCTGGATCAACTGAGGAGTGAAGTAATCTTTCCAGCCTCCAATCTGACCTTTCCTGAGGAAGTTGGGTAGTTCGCCATCACGAGTCATCATCCAGTAAGCCGATGAATTATTTTTCATGGCGTCAAAGGTGCACTGTTGAGCTATGCGGTCGATCATGCCCTCTGTTAAGGACTTGCCCAGAAACTTAGTTAATAGGCGTATTTGAGATGGTAAGTCCTGAAAGAACAAGTAAGGGTGCAATCATAACTCGTGACTAATTTTTTGCAATTAAGTTCAGGAACGGAAGTCAATTTACATCATTATACCTTAGACTTGCTATGAAAAATCTAATTGGTCGAGAGCATTCAACCAATACGCAATAGCATGCAAAGTTGGCATAATAAATGAAATATTTGCAACTGGTATTAAATTTATCATTTCCGGTTCAAAGTCTGCCTAAGAAAGAATTTTTGCACGGTAGACCCAGGCCTGTCACTGCTGTAAAATTGCATGCTAGGTGCAAGGTTTTAAGAGGCTTCCTAAAATACTTAGGAATCTTAAAGGAACACAAATGAGTGAGAATAAGCTGATACGAAAACAATAGGAGCACAGTACCAAAATTTCTTCATGTTTTTTAGTCGTGAGGTGGAAAACCAAGCAAGTCGAACATCCTTTTACGGCTACAAACAGCGTTGCTTCCCATCTGCTAAAGCGAAGTGATCCGTCAATAATGATTCCATTGGGTCATGGTTTTAACGATGAAAACAATGGAGGTCGAGCGGTTCACATAGATTTTTGAAACGGTGGGTGAAAAAATTGATGAAGTGTTTATCTTAATCGTAACTCGCTTGACCACAAACCTTCTTCATGTCTTCGTATTTGAGAAACAAAACGTTTTCGTCATCTCTGTGTCTCCACCATCCCAGGACATGCTCGGCCCAAGATCCCCAATAAACTATGATCAAGCAACGGAAGATATGGTAAGTACTCATATCATGACCCAACACAAAAGGAAAATTCTTACATTGGATCAGCAACAGGACTCTCTTTTACAGAGCAACCTCCTAAAAGTATGTAGAGCCCCTAAATATTTTCAAAAGTTAATTTTCTCCTTAAAAACACTGGAAATAGGAAAGTGCCTTCAACGACAACAAAATGCCACGGTTTTAAATGCAAGCCCCTTTATTTCCGTGAATTTCGCTCAATTTTAAATCTCGCGCGCTGGAGCCCACGTTGTTGACCGCATACTTGTGATCGCATTTCGTTATTCGGCTCTGCCTCGTACACTCCGAATACGATACACAGAGAAACTACCAAATTTATCATCCGCAAAAGTAACCAATAGAATTGAATCTCCAGATGACTAACCTTGACCCTTGATAAACATGTCTGCAAAGAACTCAAATGGCCCTGAATAGTCCGTCATAGGCGCCATTTTGCTCTCAAAATTATAAAAGGAAACAACGGCATCGAGAGGATTCCTCGCAACATAGATGTATTTACATCTTGATTCCTTGCATGTTCCTTTGGGAATTGTTGGAAATGGCTGGTGAGTCTTTATGAGGCGTGGACTGGGTCGAGTGGTGATGTCTGGTTGGGTAGTATGTGGAAATTTCGCCTCGTCAAAGAATTGAACTCGGTGACCAATTGGTACTTGGCTAACTTCTCCATCATTGCAGATCTGCCAAGTGACCTCTTGAAGCCACGTCGTCCCTGGAAGAGAACATTACAAATGCGTTATTGATCAAGCGTGAGGGCAAGATGGCTGGATATTGACCGAGTTCAATTTTTTTGCGCCGCTCTGAGACGTCAGAGACGAGTCGAGGTCCATTAAAACGCAAAAAGAGAACGAGGCTCACATCAAGCCATCTGGACCGCACAAGCTTGGTCAATAAAAGATTTTATTATATAGCAAATACCTTTCGATAAACTAAGAAACAGAAATGACTTGTTTATTTCGAGAGCCGGGAAAGAAATCGAGCTGTGTTTGTAGCTCAATAAACCCTTAGGAGTCGTTTAATGCTTTCTTTGTTCTGCGCTTTTTTTTTTTACGAACTTTGTAGGTCCGCTCCACGCAATCTTTTATTGTGCAGGATGAAGATGGGCGATCCCGAGCGGGCGAGATAAGCCCGTCATGCTCGCTTGGATAGCCAATCAGAACACAGGATTCGCTTATTCGATAACAGCATCTAATACCCATTGATTTTAATAATATCCATGATCAGTGCTACGAATCTAAAGAAAAACAAGAATACTCCTATGTTCAACTCAAAGTGAGTTTAACAGTGTGCAGTAGCATGTAAACTGTGGAAATATTTTCATGATGATGGCACTCATTGAGAAAACTGCAGCAACTATAAATGAACAAAAAGAAGCATGCTTGTTAAACTTACGACCCACTTACGAGTGTCGTGTTTTTCTTTAAAACTATTCAATGCTTTGTCCACGAGTTGGAAATTTGAAGTCATCTGATAAAAGCTGTGTCAGGAAACGCGTGATCATTTCACCAAAAAGAGTAGGGTGCTTGTGGGCCTGGTCTTCATAACAAAATATTTTTGGAAATTTTTTGTCTTTGTTTCACTTTTAGAGAGGATTATTAACTCACCTGATCTTGGGAAACCGACGATAAAGACATCATCGTGTCTGGTTTGAAAATTCTCTATGAAATCTTTAAATCCTTTAACGTAGAAAGGAGGCATTCTTACACCTAACACCAGCGCAGTTTTGCTGTTACGGTATTCACCATATCTCTCCTGTATAGAATTTTCGTCCTCAGTAGCCATAAACAAAGGTAATTGCTGGAAACTGGAACAAAAAAGTCGGTCTTTGCTAATGGAGAAAAAAGAGGGATCACAAAATTTCATTGGCTTTTGTTCGCGAAATGAAATGAAATGGAGTACTTGAGAAATTTTTTAAAATTGGGCCGTTTACTACATCACGAGCGACGAGCCGGGAAGAAGGACAGTCTCAAGTATGAGTGATCAGCGATTATGATAGAATATGATAGAAACGATGCTTAAAAGGAAAGTTTGGTAGGGGGTCCATATCCACTAGCGGATTTGGACCGGGGGGTCCAGATCCGCTGTGACACCAGAACGCTTCTTGCTACATTCCTCGCATCTACTCTAGCGATCGCCAAATATCAACTCGCTTGATAAATAATCAAACATATATAAAAAAATGGATTTTGAGCATCGAAACGCTACACGACAGTGGAAATTATTTACATGCCGAAGCCGAATTTCGTACACGGGTAGTGCTTGACCGACTTAATGACTGACTTTCGCGGTTTATTAACATCAAAAGTCACGTGACACTACACGTGAACTCTAAAAATTCAAATTCAACATCCTAGTCCAGCTGTTAGCGACCAAAAAAAACACTGAATTGTTCAAATTAATGATAAAAGCATGAAACTTTGCCACAACTCTTATGAACCTAAGACTAACATTTTCTGATATAGGGCCAATCCAAATTAACTTCTCGTGACGAGTACCACGCATGTAAGAAATTCGCTAACATGGAAACGAGGCTATGAATAAAAAAAATCCTCTTTAACAACATTGCTTGGGGAAATTGTCGACAAAAGCCTACAAACATAACAACCGAGTCATTTTCTGTCCGTTCGTATTCATCTTATGCTATTACGTGACTATCCTCTATGATATTTATCATAATGTTTGGGTGCCCTGGGGTTAAGCGTTAAATATACCTAGTGAATGAAGATTTTAGATATATGAAAATTCATATATTTGCACTGCGGTGGAGAGATGAAATTAAGAGATCCTCGCAGCTAAGAACACTACTGAAACGAATAGTTGTAGATAGGACCTGAAAAAAATTCAGGCCCGTACGGGATTTGAACCCATGACCTCTGCGATACCGGTGCAGCGCTCTACCAATTGAGCTAACAATCCAACTGGGAGCTGGTTAATGAATTGGGTCCAAATAAACATCCAAGTGAATGAAGATTTTAGATATATGAAAATTCATATATTTGCACTGCGGTGGAGAGATGAAATTAAGAGATCCTCGCAGCTAAGAACACTACTGAAACGAGTAGTTGTAAATAGGACCTGAAAAAAATTCAGGCCCGTACGGGATTTGAAGCTGCGAGGATCTCTTAATTTCATCTCTCCACCGCAGTGCAAATATATGAATTTTCATATATCTCAGAGGTCATGGGTTCGTGACAAGATTCCTTTGCTTGCGGTAGAGCTTTCCAGAATGGTGACCATGAGTTGTGGAAGCACTTTCTGACAAAGGAGAGTTTGGCCCCATACGTAGCCGTCTTAGAACACTGCTCTTTTGACGTGCTGCTCAAGTCATGCTCCAGTGGGAGGGATACTGTCTAAGCTTCTAGACCTCTTTGAAAAGAGCTTTTGTTGCTCCTCGTTTACTTGTGGTGTAAACGGAAAAAAGCAATGTTAGCGCGCCGCGGGGAGCTCATGCAGTGAGGCGCTTGCTTAGTTCTTTGGAATACAGACAGCGTAAGAGTTTGACCTTGCACGGCTGAGTGATTTTTAGGCGTCAAATTTTAATTTCATTGAGGTGTAACCAATGACATTCCTTATCTTAATTAGCAATCAATCTTCATGTCGTCCCAATGGGCGGATGATATCACGAACACTTAACCATCTCAAATTAAACTGGAAATCTGTGAAACGTTCCAGCAAGGACGATTATCACGAACGAAACACCTAAATGTAATTTTAATTTTTAATCAATCTCAGTTTTCATATCAGTACTTCATTGTTGTATATTGCTCCCTTTTAATGTAAATCCTGGTCATACATTAAGATTAATGACACCTCAATGGGGTAAGAAGGGGGGGGGGGGGAGGGAGGGGCTCAGTCTTACTGCACTACTTTCTTTTGAACGGAAAGGGAAGTTAGTCACACCCCTCTCCCATTCTTGAATGTTTTGCTCTCTTTTTTACCTCCCCTTTTACGTCAACTAGTCACGCTCAACTCACTTGTTCCACGTAAACGGAATAGAAAGCTATCCTAGCTATGACTTCTAGTTTGTCTTTATTAGTTCTGGCACTTCGTCCCTCGCACGATAGGCTTCGCTTCTAAAACCTTGCAAGGAAAAGAATCGCTTGTGGAACACTGTTGCTGATAGGATTTTCAAGAGGCGCGTTACGAAATCGCATATCAATTGACAAGATCGAGTCGCTTTGTAGATTGCACGGAAGTACAGTCAAATTTTGCTCCTCTTCCTCTCGTGGTTATTAAAAGGGAAGACACCACCACTCTCCGGGGAACAGGTATGATTTAACAATGATTCTTCCAGCCTCAGATATTTATCAGTCTCTGTTAATTTACGTATGCAACTGCATTGTCACTCACCAGCCCTAAGAAGTCGACTCTTCAAGGATCTTGTAGAGTATTTCCATGCCCTCTATGGTCCTTTATAGCAAGTAAAGATCTTGTATGGAAAGAATGTCTAGGCCTGAAAGACCCCTCAGTAGTTGACACGATATAGACATGTATCTTGGCAGTTGATAAGGTAGTTTAAATACATAAATCAGTATTAAATCAATGTATGTATCCATATGCGTTATTCCGAGAGACGGGAAAGAAAGCCAAATGTGTTTGAAGCACAATAAACTCATGAGAATCGTTCATGTTTTCTCTGTTTTGATTGTCTTCTGCCGATTTTGCGTCGTATCACCGATAATGTCTAACAAATTACAGAATTTGTAAGTTTACTCCACGCTGTCCTTACAATTTTATCTCAAGCGGGATCCAAGGTGGCTCATCTTGCCCGCTCGGGTAGCCAATAAGAACACAGGATTTGCTCTGTATTACCCTCAGCGGCTTCAAGTAATAGGCTTGGTTATTTGTCTGCGTTTGATCATATTCGTTCCGAGAAGCGAACAGCTATCCGAGAGCGAAGCTCAAAGAAATCTGTGAGCTTCGAGGAACAGACATTGTCCAAGGACAAATAAAGGAGCGTATTTTTGCGTCAAATGGAGGCCATTGTGTTTATTATCCTTTTGATAATATACATGAAAAAATGACTCAATTCTGATCGGTTAGGATAAATGCAGTCTTCAGGTAATTCAGTGCAGCAGAGGGTTAATTCAGTGCAAAGAAGTAACAAACCAGACATTCTGATTGGTCAATAATCAAAGAAACTCATAGAAAGGCCAATCAAATGCGAGCCTTGGATCGATGTTGCAACAGTTGGATACGCTGAAAAAATTTGTGAGCGAAACAATAGCCGGCGTTATAAGTAGGTTTTCTTTTGCCACCGCAACAACAATACAGCAGCTGAAAAACAGCTCTAACAACGAAACACTGTGACAAGCACTGCTTTTTGGTTGTTGGTTTGTAAAAAGTGGTGTTTAAAGAAGGGAATTGCCAAGAAAATCGAAAATTACGAGCCGACACAACTTAAAACTTTACTCGAGCGATTCTACGCCGAAATTAAAAACAAACATGGTTAGACCTTGCAAACGACGATTCCATTTCATCGAAAGTGATTCGGACACAGACTGAACAATTCCTTGAACTGTTAAGCCGGACTTTGAACTTCATTGCGCCTTAAAGTTGTGAAAATGTCATTGTATATTATTGTTTTGATCGTACGCGGTTGTTTTGACCGAACGCACAATGTCACTTGCAGGTTTGAATAAATTATTTTTGCACCCGATGCGCTCGCTTTGCTTTTGCATAATCATGATAAGCTATCTCGTATTTTTTCATGTATATTATAAATACGCAATCACATGATTTTTCTCGTGTAATTTGGACTAAATAATCACTTACTGATTTTTTCAAAGACCACAAATTGCATTCGCCTTACGGGCTCGTGCAATTTTGTTACTCTTTGAAAAAAATTTACTCGTGCTTATTTATTCCAAATTGCACTCGAAATCATGTGATTACCAACACAAATGTTTTTGCAGCGCGTGGGACAGAATGATTACGAACAACTCATTGTTTAACTCTTAGGATGTACACTATTCAGTGTTCTCTGGTACAATATTATGTGCCTTCATTAGTAATAACAGAAAATTGGGTAGTATCATTCGGGGAATTTGTTGGATTGTGTAGCGCATCAAAAGGAGGAATAGGGCTATTGGGGGTGTGCTGCGTTACAGTGTTTAGAGAGAAAAAAAAGGAATTATCGCACTCGGTCATTGATCTGTAAATTGCTTTACGAGCGACGAAAAAAGATGAGAATTTGTGGTTTTTCAGCTTTCCCTCGAATCGCCCACTGAGATCGCCGAGGAGTTAACTTAGGTCATCTTATGATATCACATCACTGGTTCGCATAACTGGAAGAATATGATTGTATCCTCTGATCTACTCCTCACGATTCTACGTCACAAAATATCGCTTTCTCGCTCAATTTTTCCCATCAATTCAATTGCACACGATTTCGACGTAAGTGATCAGCGTGAAGTAGCTCTTTGCCAAAGCATCGTTCGGTTTCTTGGTTTTCTTTTTTCCTAAAATAATGAAAGAGTTTAAAGTGGTTACGAATGTTACTGTTATGAATCTGTTTTCATGTAAAAAGCTGAATCTTATACGCATTTTGATCGGTTCTTACTTATGACCTATTGGAGGACAGACGCATAGGTGACGTCACCATTAAGAACATTTTGCTTTTAATCATCAAAAAACAAACAGATTCTAAGTTGCCATTGGTTTGTTCAGTAACTTATAGCGGAAGATGTTAAAATATGGTAAGAACATTCCTGACACACTCGGCTGCTCGTCTGGTGTCACTTTTTTTTCTTTTTTTTTTTTTATGGATCACCTATGTGATCTATAACTAATTATGTAATAAGCTCAGTTATGCACGCATTCTGATTGGTTCTCACTTATGATCTATAGGAGGACAGACGTATAGATGACGTCATCATTAAAACTTTTTTTTTCCCCTTATATATTAATTCTTTAATATATAAAACAAATAGATTCCAAGTTGCCGTGCGTCTGTTTAGTAATAGATCACAGAGGACTTCAAAATGTGGTAAGAACATCGGTGACACACTCGGCTGCGCCTCTGTTTTTGTTCTAATCACATTTTGACGTCATCTTGATCTTCTTGGAATCTATTTGTTCAATAGAGGCACTGCAAAATGGAATCTATTGTTCATTTATTTGCCTACGATTTTTTTTTCGCTCTGTATATCTGTTGTGCTTGGCCATTTATGACACTACCCAACTTAGTTTTGAAATAGAAATGCTTACAGTTATGGTTGTTGACCAAAACTAAGCGAAAAATGAACGGATCGTCGCTACAGGCATAGGCCAATGCTAATAACTACTGAGCTATCTTGATTTAATGCTCCTTGTCAATTAAGGATTCATCACATGACAAGAAGATTATACTAAATAATTTTGCTTTGCTGTTGGTAAATCTACGAATCTTTTATTGCTTCTCTTCGTTCTGATCGTCTTCGAGACGTCGCTGGCAATGTTTTGCGTCTCCATTGTCGTTAGACCTCCTTGTACACACACAAGTTTTTTAAAAGAATCTACAAACAAATAAGCCGGTCTGTTTTACGTTGTTTTTGTAAGTTTGTCTGTTTCTCATTGTTGCAGCCGTTTCTCTAACCAGCAGATAGCTCCTCTTCGCGTCCTCCATGGCAAGTGACGAGCTTATACAAGAGAGAGATGGCGAGTACCGTCACGGTAAGGCCGTTATGGTCAGAGGGGTCAGAATGCCTCATGTGTACGCCTATTTGACAGGATTTGCAGAGTTCATCGAAAATTTTACAACCAAAAACGATGATGTCTTTATTGTCGGTTTTCCAAGGTCAGGTGAGTTCGATTCCTCGAAAGGAATGATAACGAGGTCTAAAAAGAGAAAAAATAATTTTTCCCAAACTATTTTCTGACTTATTAGAGCGCCTTGGGAATGAGGTTCTTAAAACCAACACCAACGTAATCACAACGGCTCAGTTAGAACAGAGAAAATTAACATGCATTAAATTCACTGAGCGAGGAAATAGGTTTGTTACCCAAGGCACCATTGGTTTAAGTTTTGCGCCTGATTGGTTGAGAAATAGGCGCGTCTTTTGGACCAATCACCAAGTGAAGTGAGGGAAATGCAAACATTATCTACTTTCTTGAGAATTTTTCTCTCACCTTTTCTTCAAAATTGCGTGATTCTTCTCTTAAATCACGGGTCCTCCTCCTTCGATCCACTAGGAACTACTTGGCTTCAAGAGGTCATTTGGCAGATCTTCAATGATGGAGAAATTAGTCGCCATCCTATTGGTCACCGGGTTCAATTCTTTGACGAAGCCAAATTTCCCCACACCACCCAGCCTGACATCACCACTAGAGCCAGTCCACGCCTCATGAAGACTCATCAGCCATTTCATGCAATTCCCAAAGGAACAAGCGAAAACTCAAGATGTAAATACATATACGTTGCAAGGAATCCATTCAATGTCGTGGTGTCTTATTACAACTTCGACCTCAAAATGGCGCCTGTGACGGACTATGATGGGCCATTTGAATATTTTGCTGACATGTTTATCAAGGGGACAAGTAAGGCATAAACGTTGTTTCGACTCGTTGATACGCGACAGGAGCACTTTTTGATCAAACTAAATGCAAAAACAACATTCAGCTGAATGACTGAGATGGTGACGCATGTTGATGCTAGTTGCCTTAACCAATCACAAATCGTAAGAAATCAAAACTAGCGTGATACAGGATTACTTTCGAAACTCTTGGAAATTGCTCTATTCTCAACAGGATTCTCTTGTCTATGCTGCAATCCTTGATATAACGAATTCGAGTGTCAGAAAGGGACGCGAACGGAGCTAATCTTCATTAATACTGATCTTAATTATTATTCTTGTTTATAGCATATTGGGGGTCTTGGACCGAACATGTTCTGGGATGGTGGAAACACAAAGATGATGACAATGTTCTGTTTCTCAAATACGAAGACATGAAGAAGGTTTGTGGTCTCATCGACAGTTTTTAATTTTGTTAGACGACTTTCTTTCTGTGATGCTCTGTCGGGGGGGGGGTGGGGGCGGTAATATAACAAGATAATTTGGTTTTATCAACTGATTTGATAATGTAAATTAGCCAACGTAAGTAGTTTTAAAGCTGAAGTTTCGAGCGTTAGCCCTTCCCCTGACGAAGGGTTAACACTCGAAATGTCAGCTTTAAAACTCTTTACGGTGGCTGGTTTACATTATTATCAACTCAATTGATAAAACCAAATTGCCTTTCGGTTACCCTGCGTGCCCGCAAGAGGTTCTGCAAATCCAGACACGAGTACCTCACCTGTACACCTCCCCTTGATTTTTGTCCAGATTTTTCACAGCATTTCCTGGTTTAGGAGGCTTTTAACCACCCTTGAAATTAATCATCCAATGGTTACATCCATAGAATTATTTCAGAGCCACAGCATACTATTTATGTAAGGCCTTTTTTTGTTACATTTTTGCTGGCTCTAGCTAGTTCCTAGTTACTGACATTCGTTTAGGGATAGCTGATGTGTGCGTAGTCTAAACTTCTGAACATTAATTAACTTTTATATTTATTAGGACCTACCTTCTCAAATACGCTTAATATGTAAATTTCTGGGCAAAAACATAACAGAGGACATGATGGACCGCATAGCTCAACAGTGCACCTTTGACGCCATGAAAAATAATTCATCGGCTTACTGGATGATGACTCGTGATGGCGAACTACCCAACTTCCTCAGGAAAGGTCAGATTGGAGGCTGGAAAGATTACTTCACTCCTGAGTTGATCCAGAGATTTGAAAAAGAAGTGCTCGGCAAACTGGATGGTTCTGGGCTCCAGTTTGATCTTGGTCGATGATTTCAACTGTTGTTGCCACAGAGCATGCGTGGCTCACGCTGGAAAATTAGCAACAATTCTTCTACCATTCTGTGCTTTGCAGCGCATCAATGTGTTTCTCTTTCAATTCGTTTAAAGTACTTTTTTAAGAAATTGATCAAATTATTTAGTGTGAACCATAGGGCCCATATATATATATATATATATTAGGAAAATTGGGTTAACCAAACTCAGCTGCAACTGAAGCTGATTTCCTTCAAGGAGCTATAAAATAATAAGCAAATTTAGAATAATTTTTTCAAGGCATAACATAGAGCTATTATTATCTTAGTTTTATAAATTTGATGAAGGGGGTAACTTTCTATAGAAACTGGTTAGAGCTTTCAATAAAAACCGATTACTGTCGTTCTACCACCGCCTAAAAGGCCCCTCATCATCGTCTGTCTAACTTGCCAGCAGGCTCTCGTGTTTTGGGTTTCGCCTGACGGCTCCTTTTATTTCCGGGCACAACCGACTATCATACCACTGGCAGCCACTTTTATTGCAACTGTGGTGCTACGTCGATAGAGCTATTAAGATCAATTGGTTCTGTCATTGAGTTGATGATGTAAACTAGCCACCGTGGCCAATTCACATCATCAAGTCAGTTGATGAACTAAATTATCTCAATTTCATACACTCAGGTTAATATCAAACATGATATGATAAAATACTGACTCTTGTCAGTTTTTAGGCTTTTTTAAAGCTTGCTTCAGGTAATTCAGTTGGTTCAGATTAAAGTATTCTTACATCTATTGTTATACAGAAGGGCCTTTCGAGAAGAGACGCCAAAGTAAGGCAACTCCTCTTGTTGACAGAGTGCAATAATAATAATAATCACGATAAAATAAAATGAAAAGAAAATGAATATCGTACTGGGTATATTGGTCTATGTAAGAAAAATTGATGATGTTACAGTCTCAAGTCCAAGAATAGGCGCCAAAGCTCTCTCATTTTAAGATAAGAGTCGCGGTTGGACAAGAGATCCTCTCACTCAAGGCGCTCTCATTCTTTAGACTGAACTCTGAACGGCGTATAAAGCGGACAAATTAAGTTGAGAGGATTTGAGGAAACTGTCATTGCTTAAGAAAGACTAAGTGATAACGCACTGGATCTTTGGCATGTCTTTCTACGAAAGGAAATGAAGATAGACAGTCTACCAAAGAATTGTTTAATGAGGACCCTTACGGAGGATAGTCAGTCTTATGAAATTTAATTCAGATCATAGAACTCTTTTTTCATTGATATTGTTAAAAAAAATTTTGATTCTTCATTGATGTTATAGTTATTTCGTTTCGTTATTTGGCTTTGTCACGTTTTTGCGTAGAAATTAAATGATACTTAACATCTAATTAAAATCCAAGCGTCTATTCTCTCTAGATTTTAATTAAAAATTGTGTTAGAAATTTCCAAAAAAAAAAAGAAGTATTATAAGTTTTACAAGATGTAAACTCACTGTTCGGGTAACATTTAAAAGCATATTAAGAGACTCAGTATAAAACGGTGCCATACGAAGTAACCCTCCACTTCTTAGTAAACTTGACGAAAATATTCACAACTAATTAACTGTAGTCACGCCGAATTTCGTGATGCCATGCGACCGAGTGAGGAAAGTATAAGGTTCGCAACCGAATTTCTAAGACATCATCCTGCAGAAATGGAATGAAGAATGGAAAATAGCTCCGTAGACTTATATATTGATTTTATCGCGCAACAAGGCTTTCTCAGACGAATTGCTTACATAGTTTACGATTACGACTGCGATACAATAATCGTTTCCGGTAGATGTTGTTATTTTTATTTATAATCCCATCCTTATCATCCAAAACCTTCTACTTCTTTTCTTGATCAAACAATAGAGTCACTCAAACTTTTTCACCGATTGGTTCAATTATTTTTCTTCTTTTGTTTTTAGAATGTTTCTGGCTGAAGAGGGTGTTGAACCGCCGGAAGCTACGCTCAAAAGGTACGACACGTAGAATGTTCTATTGAAACATCCAGAATATGAAATCAATGTACTTGAATATGCGATGAATTTGGCGAGGCGATTATTCAAATGAATCAGTTTCGTGTTGTCTTTGGAGCGATGATTGATTAAGCCAATTTTTTGTTTGCGGAGATATTGTGATTCTGCGATGAAAATTTCGCGGCAAAAGAAACAAACATTGGGGGTTTGAGTACTTTGTCAGGTCACGAATCAATCAACCAATTAGTTTTCGCGGTTTCGGTCACGTGCCATGTAAATGATACGTTGGTTGCGATGAACGCAAAAAATGGCGTCTGAAAAGTGAAGTTATTGTACGTTGGGTAGTGGGGCAAGACACCTGAAAATTCGTCGAGTTTTACACTATATGAGTTTCTTGATTTGGAGAAGAAAAGGTGAGTCAAGCGATTTTGCTAGGAAAATCTGTACTATATGAGACAACTCTGCTCATATTCTGCATTTGCGCGAATTCTGTTGTTGTACCCACTTGAAACTGTCCTGATTCAAACATAATCCAAGTTGAACTAACTAATTTAAAAAAGGGCAGGTATTTATCGCGAATAAATGGCATTTTTGACCGAAGATTACTAAATTATTGGTTGGCGGCTGATGTCTGGTTTGCTGAAAATTATTTTGCCGGGCATCTGTGTTGTTTATGAGCGAATATGTCGTGATTTCCCTCACCACCCGGTAAATAGTGTAGTTTCCGTACCCGAATATCTTACAGTTTATCGCATGGATGTTAAAAACCTTAAACCCTATCAGAATTTTCAGGACGACCACCTGAAGTATGAATTGTTTGTTCTCCTCATTTCAGTTTTCTAGTACTATTGTCTGTGAAATGTTTTAGCTCATATTTCTCCGTTACGATAGCATTCCCATTGCGAAGGTCAGGTTTTATATTTGGCGTTCGTGACTGTTTGAGGTTTCACCATTACGATCGATTAAATTTCTGGTCGCTTAGTTCGAGCTACAGAGGAAAGATATTTGACCAGTTTGTATTCCCAATTTTCTATATTGGATGTTTTGTGAAAAAATGATATTTGTTCATGTAACGAGACAGTTTCTTTGAAAGCGTGAAATTACCTAGTGCTCCCCTTGAAGGAATGTTCTTCACAGGAAACCAGTCGCTGTAAAAGTTCGTCTGTGGGAGATTTAAACGTAAGCTTAAGTGTCGTTGACGTTTTTGTGGTATTTGATTATATTGTGAAAATGTTGTGTTTTCGAAAGCTTGAAATATCGCATAATAATACGGAGATTTTGGTCCAGATTTCTGATCTATTGTCTTTCATAGGCTTATTACGGCAGTAATTTCTGTGATCAATTGTCCATTGTGAGTTTGTCTTTAAAGGTTCATTATTTTTCCACCTGAACAGACAGCAAAGTATTCCATCTATGACTGCTAACCATACGCACGCTCATAATTTAAGTAATCTTACACATTATTGAATGATAAGAATTTTGACTTTTGGTCCATCTCCTATGCTTGTAAGAACAGGTTCATGATCATGTGTGCAGCTATTAAACATATTTTTTTTGTGGAAGGGGTTTGAAAATATTACCTAGCAAGTAGGTTTCTTTACTTTTTGATTATTCTTTTTTTTGTCAAATCAGAGGATGAAAAGAGAAACTTAGGTCTCACATCTACTTTGATTTATTTGAAAAAAGAATTATTGCCAGAAGAAGGATAAAATGCTCATGAATTTGTTTTTGCGCTGTTATCAATAACTTCAGTGCCAGCAAATGTAAGATGAATGCTTCCTGTTCCCTTTATTTGTAGATAAATGATAAAGTGCATGGGCCAAATTGTAGATCCTGTGATCAGTTGATGTAAGAGTTTCTTATTAAAAAATTCTTTACAAATTGGGTCTGTTGAACTATATTGCTTGGCAGTATTTTCAGAGATCTCTACTGTAGTAACTATTTTGAAAAATGCTTTGTGTTTGGTGACCAAAAACGGGTGTCAGTGTATTTTTATTGATAGTAAGACAAGTGTAATTTATGAAAATTTTTTCATGTATTTGTAGTCTTTCCAGCCACTTAAAGGGCATATCAATTAAAAACAAAATTGTGGACTGACCAACCATATTGTTTTTTGTAGGGAAAATGAATTTGACACACCAAGCTTGTTCAATGGCAATGGATAAAGGTTCATCAACATCAACAAAGGATTTCATTTGAGGTTCAAGATGAAGGATGATGTTAAGGTTGAGAGCAGTGGTGGGACAGAAACAGGTGTCACTATTGAAGTACTAGTTTCTATGCCAGACAAAAAAATCCAGGTCAGCAACCTACTTTGTACTCTTCTATTTAAATAATGGGTTAGATAGGTTTTCAACTCTGGGCCAGCAATCTGATAGCTAGCATATTTGAGCTTTTCATATCTTGCACTACTATTTTCAAGGCTGATTCAATGGTTGTTTTATGCTGACTAGGGTGTTCTCAAACAGTTTTTGTGTGCATTGTCCCACATGCACGTACTTCATAGTTGTAATCTGCTCAATATTTGTATTGTTTGGTTGTGTTCGTTTTTAAAAACATTTTTTGTTCTCTCCTTCCTCTCTCTGCAGCTTTTTTTTTTTATTTTTCTGATTATATTGCTTTTTTTTTCATGTTTTTTCACTGATGAAATCTAATTTTATCGTGGCAAGTCATGTAATCATACCTGGGCTGAGACTAGGTTTAATGGTGTGCCTGTTTAAGTATTTTGGTGGGTAGGGCAGTCTTAAAGGCTGTTCTAATAGTCTTGATTTGGGTTGGTGTTATTAGCCCTAAGGCTCTTGGGCACCAAATCTTTATTTGAGATATAAATATAGGTATTGTAGGCATTGCACTGCCTCAGTGGAAGATTGTATACGATGATCTACCTGTAGCTTAGTTCCCATTTAGAATGAGCATAGAACTTTTCAATTTCTATCATCCAGTTTCTGTGTAATTTGATTTTAACTTTTTGTTAAATAATATACTTGTTCAATATTACAGAAACTTTATCACTTTGATGTTCACGACAAAGTATGGAATGCAAAGTTACATGTGATTAATGATTTAATTAAGGTAAGGATACATGTACAAGAAACTCTAAATTGCCAGCCTTCTTTTAAGAAGCTGAGACAGACGTACATGTACTTTATGTTTCCTCCTATCATCACAATTTGCCATAACAGCAGCATGCTGTGATGTTTTTCAAAAAACACAACTTTGAGGTCAAATTTTATTAAAGAGTTACTGTCAGGAAATAAGAGCTAAAAGAAAAAACTGGTCGGTGTGAGGGGGGGAGGGCCTCCTCCTCCTTACTTAAATTTAATCTGGTGCCTTATAATATGTGACCTTGAAAAAGTTAACATTTTAAAATCTTATCCCTTGATTACATTGTGAACATTTTAGAATGTGAAAGATGCTGCAAACTATGGATTCTATGACCCACCATGCAATGGAAAGTCAGGCAAGTTTCTTGAAGAAGAGAGATTATTCACTGATTATCCGTTATCAGGATCACCTCCAGTTCTTGAGGTATGCATTGACTTATGGAGTAATTATGTATTAGTTATTCATACAATTATGACTATGATTACATGTACTTTTTGGACTGTTTATTGTGGTTATCGTCCAGGCTGTCTTGAATCCTTCAGATGAGGTTTTTATGTAGAAGGGAATAAACAAGTAAGGCAGATGCTACCAGAAATTAGAGGGTGCTGGGTATCAAGTTTGTGGTAATCATGATTGCTATTTGCTTAAGTTTGTTTCTCTGCCTGGTGTAGCTGTATAGTGTTTAATGTAACTTGATTTTGTTACAGTTCAAAAACAAAAGGAGAATTTACCGTTCCATGGCATATGAACAGAAGACTCTGCAAAAACTGAATATAAAGGTAAATGAAAATATACATTGTATAATGTAGTCAGTCATTTACATGTTGCTAACTCTGTTTAGTTGTGCCTACTGTAAATAAGAAGTGGTTTAAGGCCCCATTCAAACCAGCTTGCAGCTGAACTGGACCAGCATATTAAGCATATATTGATTTGCTCATTTCAGAACATTTTAAAGTGAAGGATGCTGTAAAGTAATTCTTACTTTCAAGATTTTGTTTGCATTTCTGACCTGTCATTCAGCTGAAACAAATTCATGACTTCATGTAATTGGTTAACTTGCTCCTGGTTGTGGACATCCCTGTTAACTTTTGATGCTTAATCTCTTTCTTTAAGACAAATCAGAAGAAGTTCTTGGAGCTGGTCTCCTCTGGTGCAGTTAGCCAAGTGGGCAAGATGGCTGAGAAGGGAATTGATCCTAATTTTCATGATGATCGCACTGGAGGTAAAAAATTGGATTATACTTGGAAAAGCTTTGTAATAGTTTACATGTATCCGTATCTGTATCATTTGTTTGCATCATATATTTACCAGTAGTATAAGATAACTTTATTGAGTAAATGGCTCTTTGTAAAGGGATCAACTTCAAAGGCAGTCATTCTGTTAAAAAAGGGAAAGAAGGAAAGAAAACTACAGTACCCCTTAAGTATGCATTAACAAAACAAGGGAATAAAATGCGCCAAAAATTGCATGCAATTGCAAAGAGCAAAAAATTTGGGTGTCAAAAAATCAAGAAGTCAAAAAGTGATAGTAAACAAAACCAGAAAAATTGAGTTTAAACATGTTAATTCAACTTTTCACCTTGATTTACAGAGACACCACTAACAGTTGCAGTAACCAAAGACAATGCAAGGGAAATGATAGTCACTTTGGTAAATGGAGGAGCATTGCTGGACTACAGGACACAAGAGGGACTGACTCCTCTTCACAGAGCAGCAATAGCTGGAAAAGCAATATCTGTCAAGGTAACTTGAATTTTCCTCCTGTTGAATTATTTTGTGGTACTGTTACAACTGTATTTATTGATTGGCATCATTCATCTTTTTTTTTTTTTTTTTTTTTTTTTTCAGACCCTTTTGGATTTTGGAGCATCACCAAATTACAAAGACTTGAAAGTAAGTAAAAGTATGGCTCAGTTTTGAAGTGTCTTACCTGTGACAGGGGTATAAATTTCTAGAAGGCTTTCTTAACTGTGGTTTGGTTTATTTTTCTCAGTTTTTGAGTATGTCTGTGAGGTATGACAGTGGGACTGTTGCAAAAAGAACAAGAGACCCCTGTATTTGGCCAGTGTGCCTTCCTACATTCATAATTAGTTGGTGCATGATGAGAGTATGTACTTTTCAGTGCGGAAAAAACTTTTTCTGAGATGTAAGTTTATTTTTATTATTGATGTTTACTCTCTGCAGGGCCTCACACCATTATTCTACACGGCAATTTATGGTGGTGACCCATACTGCTGTGAAATTCTTCTTAATGATCAAGCTGAGCTGCACATTGCTGACCATCAGGGCAAGCAGGAAATACACTTGGTAAAAATTGCTATTTTGTTCATACATACTGTAGTTGTAGTGAATGTCATTGATTTTTTTTGTATATAGTTGCTTGTGTTTATGTCCATGCATTTCACTAAATGCCCAATTCATAAAAGTTTGTCTGTGAGAATGTTCAGCTTTTAACTTTTCTAATTACTCCAGTGTAGCCTTAGTACAGAGTTATTACATGTGTTCCCATTCTAGATGTTGCTGAACCCTATGATCATGGTAAACTTCTGGTCGCAAACATTTCCCAGTTTTCAAGATTGAAGTTCAAATAATACTGAGTTTGCAAGTGAAGGAAATTACTGAACCTTCACCTCTTTTCAGGATTAAAAAAATTGGTCTTGAGAACAGCATCACATTATCAAAATTGTAGAATGGAGGGGCTCAACTGGAACTTTGTCTCAATTTGTCAAAGAGCTGAGGTTGTTGCCATAACCTTGATCGTACTGGCTCCACTGCAGTTCTTTCAGTTAAAGATACATAACATACATATGTACATGTATCTACAAAACTCCATAAGGTGTAATAATGATGACATACACATGTCCTTCATTAACACATCAAGAAGGCTTGACCTGAATTGTATGTGTGCATTCATTTCTTTATTTAAATTGCTTTTTGTTATGTGTCACTAGGCTTGTAAAAATGGTCTTGTTCAGCACTTGGAGCACCTGTTATTTTATGGAGCTCAGATTGATGCTCGTACTGCGTCAGGCAACACAGCATTGCATGTGGCTGCTCTTAGTAATCAGGTACTCACGTCCGAAGTAAACTTTATAAACTGACATGAATTTTGATCTGGTAACCTCTCAGGATCCACAAGGTTCACAAGTTGCTTAATTGTCAATAACTACCACAAGTAACTTTAAACGCGCAATTTTTCCACCCTTGTGCAATTTATTACCCAGTAAACAGGTGATAACAGTAGACAATAAATTATCTCCTTTAGGCTGCCATCATGATATATCACTAAATTCCCCCAACTGATTACAGTGTGCAGGAGCCTTGGGAGAATCAGCGATCAGATAATGAAAATTACTCTGTAGAGGTTTAAATTTGCATGTATGACCGCAAATAAAAGCGGATCATGGAGCTGTGGCTGGGTAAAATTGAAATTGTTTTTCGTATTCATTGATTTCGATCGACTGTATCCATGGCATGTTGCTATAATTACAAAATATTGTGACTAACACGTGAGTACAGTCAATCTCACTTACATCGGAAATATGTGTACCTGTACATGCAGACGTAAACTTATTTGTCAACATAGGTCAGAACAGAATTAGCGACTTTCCGTTCGTGTTTACATTACTCATAGACAAAAACCAGCGACTATGGCTGCGGGCCCTTTTCTGTAGTTTACTCAACGCATGATTTATTTAAATGAAAATGCCGGAATAGAAACTTCAAAACGTCACAGTAGATGCCTCGCATCAAAGTGAAATCAGCCCAAAACAATTACACAATACTCCTCACCGCATAACTCGTTCCTTTTTATAAGGTTGCATGGGAAATCATAGTAAGAACGCAGTTTTCTTTTACATAACAATCGAGTTTCAGCAAGTGAAAGGGACCTCTGCTGATTAAGTTTAATAGGCTTTGCTCTGTACAATGCGCAACCGTCCGTCAGGCTGTGCTTAGATCGCCACTTGAAACCGTTCGTCATGTCTTTTCTTTTCTTTTATGTAAGCACTTAGCAAAGAAAAAAAAAAGGTGATGCAATGAATTGTGGATGAAAGAGTGATGTTCTATGACCCGAGAAAACTACTGTGTACAATGCTTGTGTTTATTTGAAAAGAGTGAATTTTGTTTAGAGGTACTTACAGCTTGAGACAGTTTTCCCTTCTGAGTAGCATTCATTCATAATTTCTGACATACACTTTAACGAATATGCATGAAAGTGTCGTATTTCAATTAAAACGTTGGAACACCTGAATCATAACTGTCACCAATCAGTATGGATGTGCTATTTTAGGAGAGTCTCGGCATTGTATATTCATGCATAAGCCACGGACTGCAGCAAATGTATTCTTTAGGAAATGCTTCGGTGGTCACGTCATTTTAACTTCGACCAAAAGAAATATTGAAGGTTTGAACAGGTTATCAAGCCACGTGTGCGATAGGAATTTACCATAGACTTACAATGCTGTTTTAGTTATAAACCCCGAGTAGGTGTTAGGTAATGTAAAATCGATAGATACAGCTCAGAATCAGTTTACAAGATTTTTAAGGCTCCACAAAATGTAGCCGCTTGGGCCGTGTCAATCCATTTTATTTTAAGTTTGTTGCGGTATTCCGCTTGCACACGAACTGCAGTTATCACTTATTTGTATAGATGTAGTTTGTTTAGCATTTGAACGCTATGGTTGATGTGGTTTTCTTTTCTTCTTTAGGATGAATGTGCTAGAGTTCTGTTGTTCAGAGGAGCGAAGAGAAATATCTTGAACTACGCGAATCAATCTGCATACGAGGTAAGATAATGATTAAGTTGTTGTGGATGTAAGCATTCGGATTATAAACCCTAAGTTCTTATTTGTATTTATCACATAGAAAATCCAGGCGTGAAGGCCCAGGTTGCGTGGGGCTTTGAGCCCAAATAAAGACAATTAACGTTTAATTTGATCATTGTGGTCGAGGAATATTTTTGAATTACTACAGCGGACTTTTAAGGATCTAATCCATTAATGTTTCAAATTTAATGCACAGAAAGTGAAAATGTCATATTCTCGGCATTGTATGATGTAATGTGCTATTCCTATCTTTTTGCATTAAAGTTGGGTAAAATTTCGAGGAAAGTATTTATTTTAGTTCGCGTGACATCTGGTTAGCTCATAATCTTTTAGAAATTTGCATATTCAGACGGAACACTATTTTCCAACTTAATGTGCTGCTATCGTGTTACGCGGCTTTTTTCACGAGTGAGGGCAAAGTATGTGGACATTTTATACTCTTTTGATGATTCCAAATTCCATCAGTTAATGGCATAATCTTAGAGAAGATTAGGTAGGTTTGTCCGAGTTCCTGTTTCGTGAGACTCGTCAATTTGACATTCTAACTTTCCGTCCGGAGGGTCAAACTTTAGGAAACAGAGTTTTGTTTTTATTTCAAAGATGGAAGTGAGTTGTTTATATTCTCTTGTAATATTGCCAGCTGCTTTTACAACGATCAGTTTCCGTTCTTACTTCAAGAAACCGTACTTTTGAATTGACAGTGGATATTTAGAGAGAGAGATAGAGAAACTGTTTTCATTCTGAACCTGGTGAAGTTCAACTTTTTATAATGCGGGCTGGCGAGTTTTTTTTCAAACAAGTTTTATCCCCCCTTGGCAAAGGCATGAATGATTTTTATCTCGGTTTTTGTTAGTTTGTACTCTTTTTTTTCTTTTTTGGATGCGCACTGTGATGTTTTCTCTGCCAGGTGTCACAAGATAATGCATCAGACATTTTTTATATTGTCATTTTCTAAATCCGGCCCAATATCTTGTGTTCCGCTGAATAAACTTAAATGATGATTCCAGAATACAATTCATGGCATTGTCTGAAACCATCGCGTTTGAGCTTTTTTCAAATCCCGCAAAACGTTTTAGCAGGAGAATTATGAATAGAAAGATTGCATTAGGCAAATGGGTTCGTCTTTAAGTCAGACCGAGTTTTGACTTAATCGAGGATACCTTTAGCTGCAATGTTTCGTTTGTTTGTTTATTCCTTGTTTTTTGTGTTCAGTTCATTCCTAGAATGGGACATAAGCTGTCAAGTCAATGAGCTCGTACAGAACAGATATATACAAGTCAAATATATAGGTTTTAGTAAAATGTAAATAATCGCTCTCAAGTGGGAGTTCTTCCAGATAAAGTTCTGTAACTGTTCTCTTATTTCAGTCTCTTTTCCATATTGCTTCGCCATATACAAAGGTTTAATTACTCTATTTATAGATGTAGTCTGTTAGTAGTGTTTGAAAAGTTAATGCTGCAGCTAAATATAGGGTTTGTATTTGTGACGCGGAACCTTGAATCCGCAATATTGAAAGCAAAAAATGAGTAATTAATTTATTATTTGATTCTTCAAGGTTGCCGCTGTTGGTGGGAATAAAGAGATCGCTGAGTTGATAAAGAATTTCAGTGAGAAGGATATAGGTATGGCTGCGCATATTGTAAATTAGATCAGTAAACAATTGTTATTGGTTTTCACCTTGAATAGGTTTTTCAGTAAACTTGCATCGATGAAATTTATCTTTCTTTTTCCCAGTCAAATTCTCTGGAAAACCGAGCTACAGTACCCGTCGTCGTAAATCTGTTTCCAAGCCGAAGGCATCGTCGTTGTTTCCTCGGACACCTTCGGAAACTCAATTGTCTGTCAAGAGCGACTCGTCGCCGCCGTCGCCTGACTCGTCAATACACAGTCTCCCATCCACCACGGCCTCAGAAACAGCATCGGTCGACGAACCTAGTGTAACAATGAATGGCGATACCGAAATCCATAATGGATCCCGCAAGAATCTCAACAGAACTTTATCAGCGAGTTCCACGGCGTCTGATTCTTCGTACGGTTCGGAGTCAGACTCTGGCGAAATGTCCCCACGCGACCACGAGAAGCGGAAGAAACGAACATGGCGTCAGTATTCAGAGCCAAACATCTCACAAAAACCAGCTGTACCACCCGTTAAAGCAGTATCTGGTGCAGCAACAATACGAAAGAGACTCTACGCCAGCGTACCTGGTAGACGTTTTGTGGCTATCAAGGATTATAGACCATTAATGGCAGGAGAATTGGCGCTCGAGAAAGGCGACGAAGTGGAAGGTAGGTGGCATAGTGGTGGAGTAGATTACTTGTAGATTACAGATATTTAGTTACAGTTGTTTTAACGCAATCCACTGGTTTGACTGCACATCATCACCAATGAACTGTCATGTAACGTCGCGGTTTAGAACCGAACTTGAATGTCTGTCGGTTTTGATCAATGATGCTGCCTAAGGTGAGTGTGGGAGGAGGACTAGAGAGCTATCAGTGCTTTTCGTGATTATGAAACTTAAAATGTGTAATTGCCAAAATATGTACCATTATGAGAAATCTCTTGGGCGAGAACTGTTGAATTGTTTATGTAAAGGCTATTGTAATTAATAGCTTGAAGGTCAGACAGACTGAGATCTCGAAAATAACACGTTAGTCACATTGCGTGATACTGGACAGCTTGTGCTGTGTACATAGCCAGGGAGTTGATTACAAAAGAACTCAGACTCGTAATAGTTATTTTTTCATAAAGGGGCTGAAACGACGCCTGGTCTTAATCTTTCATTTTTGACCTGCCTACGTCAATGTGTCAATTGACAAAAAGTATGTTATTTCATGTTGTACAAATGGGTATCATTGGAGATTGTAGTGCCAATCTGATTGATGGGAATTAGGGTGCCATAGCAAAGTGTTTTTTAATTTGAAGTGCTTGTGGCTTTGTATTGTTTCAATATGTGTTGTAATGAATTTGATGTGTTTCTAGTTTTGTTCGTTGGCGAGAAAGGCTACTGGGAAGGTCGAGTAGGAAATTCAACTGGCTGGTTTCACCATTCATATGTCGAAGAAAAGAAAGGAAAAGGTACGTGACTCTGACATCAGTGATATCGGTTTATTCCTTTATCGCATGCGGTCCAATCTCAAGATTTACTTCTCGCATTAACATCAATCCCTACGTTATCTGCGTCTAGAAAAAACGAGATAGAGGAAAAAGCTAAACGAAAATCGCACGCGGAGACTTTTGCGGCTAGCTTTATGTGGACTTTGTTTTTAGTTGGGTTTCCTTGTAGGTGGCAGTGTTCTTTAACTCAAAGTTTGAAGATTCGTAAAATGTATCTTATTAATTTAATGTCAGTTGTTGAGTTTCCGGTGAGTTCTGCTCTATGGCTGTTTTCATGAATTGTCACGCAATGCTCGCCCACAGAGTGTCATGACGGACAAAAAGCGGCTGGTTTGAGGTTCATGTTGTAATGTTGTATTGATATGCCTGGTAGTCAAGCTGAGGTTTCTTACCTTGAATGTATAAAAGTTCATACTCTAATCTCGTTATATTTCGTCCATGTAATTTAGGAAAAACCAGACCAAAGACGATGTTTGCTCGGCCACCGTCACAGGCCAAAAGGTCAGTACTTTTAAGTAGTGATTGAAATAACAAGCCTTTTGCCATTGTGCACTGCAGGGTGTTGTAAAAACTCATACGGTGTACAATCTAGACTCTTGGCTTCTTTTGTGACGTCTTGTCACTCGCAGTATCTTCTGTCGTTAGCTTTATTTTAGTCTTCACGAGACTCTTAGGCGACTTTAAAAAACGTTTTATACTTATCAATAAAACCTCAGTTGAAGGGTTACCTATAACAGTTTAACTGTTTGTCCCTTTCTTGTGAGGCCAATGGGAGTGTAGTAAGTTATAATGAAGGGTTGATTTTCTTTCTTTTTCTTTTTTTCAATCTTGAACCATTTCATTCTGTTGCTACTGTTTCTTTTTCTCAGCAATTCTCAAGACTTGAACCACGTTGGCTTAAACAACTCTGCTGAAGCTCCTCGGATTGTAACTCTACTCAGGAGCAGTGCTGGTTTTGGCTTTCAGATGAGAGGAGCCAATTGTAAGTTACACTAATAATTGTCACTTACACCAACTTTTCGTTGGTTAGTAACGCGATCAGCTTCTTAAAGTGTATTGCTACCAGTCAGGGTTGCGTTACCTCCCAAATACGGGCACAGAAGAAGAACCACTATTGAATGTAAATATGATTTATGAAGGAACTAGTAGTCAAAGCCTTCACAGAAGATCTGAAGAGTGCTATTCCTATTACTAAGCCAGGAAGAGACAGCTGGGATAAGAAAATTTAACATTACGACGGCTTTAGACTGAAACATTATCGAGAAAAAAAGGACATCAAAAGGAACATGTTTGACGAGCAAAAATGAGTGGGAAAAACGGCTTCTTCGTGAAAAATATGAGACAACAAACATGGTATACCGAGCCTTTAATTGAATTTTTTTCAAAACTTTCGATAACGAAATTTCGTGTCATTCTTGCTCTATTGTTTCCGTCGGCAGCACAAGTTCCGCGACTGAATTTTGAACCTACTGCTGAGTTTCCAGCTCTTCAATACTTTGGGGAACTGGAAGCAGGTGGACAGGCAGACCTGAAAGGTATAAAGGCAGGAGACTTTATATTAGAGGTCAGTATACATCCTCGCTACTGCAATTACATGCAAGCTTTTCGCCAAACGTTTGCGAGACGAGGGAGGTCTGGGTTCGAGCCATGGCTACTACTCTCATAGTGCCTTTCATCACCCAAGAGCCTTGAAAACCGCGAGGGACAAAAAAGTCCCTCTGGTAGGAGGAGACGCAGTCCCGAGTTGCGTCAAGCTACAGAAAGCGCTGATGATCTCCAGCAGCTATTGGTCTCTTGGTCTCTAATACTTCACCTTGCCGGGTACAACCCCCTTTCCCCCCTCCCACTGACCTCGGCACCGCACAAACATTTATAAGCACGAATCTTTGCTAGCAAGTGTAGCTGCATTTACTCTGTGCGAGAACATTTTGGAAACTGTTTCTTGTGCTTTCTCTCATCATAAATTCTCATTTTCAGGTTAATGGTGAGGATGTGAGGACAGCGACGCATGGCCACGTGGTGGCGTTGATTCAAAATAGTGTCAAGTTGGTTAATTTGAAAATAGTCACAGCAAAAAGTCCTGCGGTAAATGGAACTGATCATAAAGATGGTAACGGTACGCCATGTTAACGCTAGCTACCTAGGTTCAATTTAAAAGTTTTGTTTTGTACACTGTCATGTGCCTAATATGATATTATGGCTTGTGATCTTTTAGGTAACAAACTTCCTCCGCCTCCTCCAAACCGCGATCCATCTACTACGCTGACTTTGGGTCGGATGAGCACGCTTTCTTCCAGTCGACCCTCGCTTTTCGGTGAGTTTAAAGCTAACTTTCTTAGTTAACCTGACAACCGAGCAGCCGACCGCCTTGTCTTAAGCACGTCTGTGCACTGGCAGAGCTCGGTTGTCTCATGGAGCGACATGTATTTCCTTGCATTTATAAAAGTTTTTGGAACAATGCACCTAAGATTTCTGACGCATTAGCCTTCAGGCACCGTTTAATCCTCTTAAAAGCAAGTTGTGAGATGTTTTGTAAGTGCAGTTGCAAATGCTTGAGATTCAATTACATTGGATTTCAGTTTTCGTTTATATCCGTTGACTGCCTTTGGATAGTTTTGAGTGTAAAGGCAAAGGAGAGGCCATCATGCTCTACGTGAAGCATGGGGTGCGAATTCCCCAATGTTGGTCTTTTCTTGTGGCCGTTTGCTCTCCTTCGCTATCAGGTTGTATTTGAATGCTATCATTACGTTTCCTTTAGCTTTTGGTTACTTAAAAGAATATACTATTTTCTGAAGAAAATGATTTCCTTTTCCACAGAGATGAGCATGGGCGAAAGCTTTGAAGAGCCCGCGAGCTACCGCGTGGACAGTGTCATAACTGTTTCAAAGGAAAACCGCTGGCACAGTCTTCAGCGACAAAAGCCTCAGGCTCGTAAACCAGTTGGAGTTCAAATGAAATCACAAACTTTAGTTAAACGCAGATCAAGTGGGGACCTAAAGAGCGGAGGAAAAATTGGTTATCAAAGGGCGCACTCAGTGCACAATATGTTACCTCCCTCGTATGAATCTGTGGTGGGTAAGCGACCTCTCTCAGCTGCAGTACCGGTGGACATGCCTGTTGTGCCGGATGATCCCAGACTGCCGCGGTCAATGTCAGTAGATAATACTGCGTTATCAAAATATCACTTAACAGCCATGTCGACCCCTAATCTTGACAAACCAATTATAGATAATGGCTGGAACAATGGCTATGGCTCTCCTCCGAAGGAAGTAAGACGCGACTCCATGCATGGACCGTATAACTACGGTACTTTGGACAGAAGCAAAACGAGAGCAAAGGGTTCTGCCAACGTGGAGGCTGTTGTTACCTCGCCAGTAAAAGCCACCGTTGTAGCTGTGCAGAGCACAGAGGCCAAGCCCGAGATAACAGTGGTAGCAACTCCAGTAGAAGTAGTCGAGTCGACGCCGACAACCCTTCCGGATACCCATAGGGTGCCTTCCAGTGAAGTCCTGTCAGCAGGGAAAAAGGCTGAGAAGCCTGCTCTTCCTCCTAAGCCACGAACGTTATCTGATGCTCTTCAAGAAGCCGTAGCAGCAAGGAACCAACGGATTAGTCGGAAGTCGTCTGCTCCAGAAACTGAGGTCCCGTCATCTATTGCGGTAACGAATGCAAGAGAAAGAAGGGTTAGTACTCCGACAAAATTGAATCCTCGTAAGACGGTGGATGCATCTCAGAAAGTTCGCAGCGACATAATGACGAGGCTTGAAGAAAAATTCACGGAAGACGATTGTAAGGTAGAGGTGGGAGAACGTGAACGATGCCATACGATGCCACGACAGCAGGAGAAGCAATACCGAAGTAATAAAGAGAATTCCATCTCTCCCGCTATGGACGAGCAAAGCGATTCAAATAAGAAGGGACTGGTGATGTCTTCTTCGGCTGATATCCTCCGTCGTTACACGTCTCCAACTCGCGACATGAATAGACAGTCATCTTTGGATACCTCGGAGGCTGTCCACAGGAATACCAAGAAAGGGAGTGAGAATTTGCAGAGACAGTTGTCGGAACCAGTCAGCTTCGATCGTCAACCGAGGGCGCAGGCACTTGTTAAACCGCCAGCTGCGCCATCGCAGCAGATACAGCTGGGTGTTCGGGGTAAGCCTGCGGTGCCGCCTCCACCTCCTACCATGCGAAATAAAGACATTCCCTCGACACCGGTCACAAAGGGGCTGATCACCGCTGATGCATTATCCGCTAAGAAATCAAAGCTGAAATCTACAGCTAACGAGAAAGGGATATCTTCAAATGCGTCTTCTCCAGCAAGAGGAGGACTCGCGCCAACGTCCGGTACATCGCCTAATCTTGCCACACAGCATTCAGATTTACTAGCGAAGGCTGTAGCTGCGCGTGCAGCTCGCATTTCTACTCAGTCTCATTCAGACGCTGATTTGAACCCAGTAGGACGAACTGAGAGTTCATCAAAGTATGTTGGACAAACTGCAAGTTCACCCAATTATGTTGCTGTTCAGAGAGGGCCTGACCTCAAAGAACTGAATAATAACAAAATAAAATCTCAAGTGGAAATGAGAGCAGTTAATTCTCGCGGTAAACCCTCACCTCCTGTCGCTCCCAAGAAGCGATTCAGTTCATTAGATTTAAGACAACGAAAATACGAAGGCGAATTTAGAGAAGGAAGAACGACTTTGAACACTGGTAATCACTCACCAAGAATTGGGGAAGAACGCTCTCTGCCGTTTGAAATACCTGCTCCGGTTTTGTCAGAGGAGGACAAGTCTGTTATGTTTTTGGACGAAGTTATTAGAAAAGAAGCAGAGAGTGAAAATTGGAGTTTGAACTCTTGGAACAGTGGCACAGGCAGCGATTCAAGCAGTGAGGTGTTTGTTCCTCCGCCCGTATGGCCTGCGGAACAAAATAAAGACTCAGAAAATTTGTTAAAGCCGTGGTACGAGAGCAGCTCTCAATCAGAGGAAAGTATACCTGCGAAAACCTCTGAGCCAGAGAAAGTAACCAAGACTATTACAACCAAGAAGGGTTTTCAGATTAAGTTGACTATTGAGTCGAAACGAAGCGACTCATCGAAACCAGTTAGAACTTCTTCTCGTACGGATTCTAATGATATGGACATTTCCGAACCACTAACACCCAGAGTTATTGAGTCAACGAGAACTGATTCACAGAAGGAAATGCTACCAAACGAGGCAGTCCCTCAGGAATCAGATCTTGACGAGGAGTTGAAAACACCAGTAGTAGAAAAGGAAAGTGGGAAAAGTCGATTTGAATTACCACCACCGCCTGATTTATTTACAGACAAAGACGAACCACATGTGCCGCTAGATTCACCGCCTCTACCTCCCCCTCCTGAATTTTCACCGCGGGAATCCAAAACATTAGTGTTCAATTCAAAAGAAGATACTGGGAACAGAAATTGTGCCTCTCCATCAGCAGAAAGTGATGATAGTAGTAAGGTAGGTGTGGTTCTTTTTCTTGATCTGTGTGGTGCATGATGAAAAGACGAATGTTATGTATCGCATTTTTCCTTAGTTCTCCTTCGCAAGACGCACACACATAAAAGTAACAGACAGATTAAGGTGGCGACACACTTTGCGATTTAATCGCCGATCGCGGCGATTTGATTGCGAGCGAAAAACGCCGATATGTGTTTGACGTGCCGGATTTTGACGACTAGGTAGAACTGGCGAACCAAACTGTTTCATTCTTAATTATCATTCGACTGTTGATGAGGACTACCCGGCCAGATCATTTAAATCGTATATAGCCAAAATTAATTGAATTGTTCAAAAAAAAAATCGAAAATGTTTGAAAGCTAGTCTTCTTTAAACCACAGAGAAGTCCATAGTCCTAACCCTGTTGTTGTCAATTCACAGCTAAAAGTCACTTGTATATATGTAACATTTGTGTATTTTATCTTAATCCAGGATTCGGTAGGCTATACAGATATATCGTCCATATTTGGTGGATACTCTCGGCCAATGTTAGTATGAGTGGTCTGATATATTACTGTTTACACAATAATAACTGAGATGTAACTCTCGCTTTGTTTTGTTAAAAACTTATCTTTTATGGGTGCGGGTCTATAAAACCTCTCACCACCGTCTGTTTAGCTTTCGAGCAGGCTCCCGTGTTTGGGTTTCGCCTTACGGTTATTGAGACCCCCTTTTAAATTACCCTGAAAACCCATGGCTATTTTATAAAAGCTATAGACTGTAGGCACTTCCTATCGGTTTATTTGCGTAATAACCCACTTAGGATGTTGGTTCAACACTCGGAAAGGCTACAATTACTCGCTATCGGCTCGTGATTCAGTTCTCATTTTCTTCTAACATTTCGCGTGGGTTATGACGCTGGTAAACCGATTAAAAGTGCGCTCTTATGCTTAACGCACTGCCGCTGAACAACACTCTAAACTCACTTAGACTAGTTGTAGCCTGCTAGTTTTTCTCTAGGTATCGTGTAAGATCTTTTGCGGGAAAGAGATTGTGGTCACAACCTAGCCCCTTCTTGTTTAAAAGCCAATTTGGCGGTTGGTTTCTCTGCGAGCCCGTAGGATCGGACAAGTAGTGTAAACACGCTTGAACATTTTCTGTTCAATATCAGGTGGGATATGAGCCATTGGAAGTGAAATATGGTTTATTTTTCCTTTCAAGTAGATTTCAGTCTAGCTGACCACTTTCGTCACTCTGTTTTGTATAAATTCTTACTATGAATAATATTGTCTTTTAGGCAACCATTCTTGGAGAAACCAGTGTTAGACTGGGATTGCGACGACGTGTGCGGCTGGTTGGATTCCATAAACATGGCTCAATATAAAGAGACTTTCAGGGACAACGACATCCAGGGAATCCATCTTCCCGAACTAACGAAGGCTGAACTGCGCGAACTGGGAGTTAAGAGCCTGGGACACAGGATGACTCTCGAGACCGCCATAGCGAGGCTGTCGCAGCCATTGGAATCAAACTGTTAACCAATCGTTGGCTTTTCTGATTTCATTCAGAAGGGAAAAAAAACTGGTCGTAATTATAACTTCTTGGTGTATTTCGTTGGGAGTGGCCTCTATTTACTTAAATTATGGTGACTGGTATTTTTGTCGATGTAAAGGGGTCTTTGCTATTGTACACGATAATCTGTACAATTGTAACTAAAATTGTATGGAATTTTATCGTTGCATACGGGTGCCCAAACATTATTTAAAGCGCAAATTTTTTCATATAAATATTTCCATCGCTTAAAAAATGGGTAGTCTTTTTTCGTTCACTGTTTTTCCGTTCACGAATTATAAAAAACGAAATATCTTCATTCATCTGTTTGCGTTCATTTTAGCAAAAAAAACATGACCAAGCACTTGGTAGCGTTTTCGACACAATTGCTCATTCCGTTAAATGCATGTTTGCGGGAAAATGAAGATACTGCTTCTTCATGTACAGGAATTGATAGATGTATAGGGGTCAATTTTGCATTAAATATTTTGGCCTACATGGGCCTAGCTTTTGAAGTCAGAAGTCGCTTGTGAAGGAAGATCACCATCGTTCTCCATTTTGAACAGTTCGCTGTAGTAATTTATGGTCGAAGAATAGTTATGGAAATGAAGTGTAACATGTTACTGAGGACGTTTTTTCCGCATTCGAACGGCTTCTTATATCCTTATTTGGGATTCTATTTTAGAGCGTTTTTCTGTTAATATAATCGACAATTTAGGCACATGTTTATTATACAGGTTATATTATTTGGTAGGTGACGTATGGGTACCCATTAATGAAAATAAATTCACATTCCACTTGCTTTATTAGTCTGGACATAGGGAGCATCATGGACTATCGATCAAGGGTAGCCTCGTAAAACGTCCAAGTAAATTTAGGGTATTTTCATATTTATCATTTCATTATTTGAAATTGTAGAAAATTATCATGGATCTAAAACCAAATCGTTAATTCAAGTTGTAAGTAGCAGTGAATCGCCATTAAGCATTTTGTAGCCATGAATGAAATCGTCTTAATTACGGATGACCAAGGGTTTCAAGCTGTGTGGGTATTGCTCAAATTTTTCTATTTCTACGCATTTGAAATTTTTGAAGACATTGTACTAAGGCTTGATGTGTTGATTCCTTTAGAGGTTTAGATTCCGTCAGTATAACATTGTAAATGTTCATATTGTTCGACTTGCAAACATTTATTTTTTGCATGCAATAAAGATACGTATTTTTAAAGTACAATGTGTCGTTGGTTTGGTAACCCCTCTAGCTTATAAAATTGGACATATCTGTCTAAAATCAGAATCGGACACTGGTGCCTAAAATGGAAAACCGGACACTATTGTGTAAAATCGGAAATCGGACACTAGTGTGTAGAATCGGACACTAGTGTCTAAAATCGCACACTAGAGTATAAAATCAGACACTAGTATCCAAAATCGGAAATTGGACACAAAGAGTTGAAAATTGGAAATCGTACACTAGGGTCCAAAATCGGAAATCTTTCACTGTAAGTCTTAGTTGTATTAATCTTGCGTGATGCGCCTATCCCCTTCTTCCTTCTGTCCCTTCCCCCCCCCCCCCCATCTCTCCTACACGTCCAACACATATTCACTCGCGCACAATTCTCCATGAAAACGTCTTTCGCCGAAACAAGGAGGAACTGTTAGTGAGTTGGTAGACGGGGCAGAACATTAATTATGATATCGCTGGCAGCGCCCGTGAGTAATTAAAGTGAATCTTGCGAATCTTGTGTTCTAATTGGCCTCCTGAGCGGGCAAGATTGGCCTTGCTCCGGATTTACCACTTTGATCCCGCCCTGAAAAAAATTGAATAAGTACTAAGTTCGTAGTTCTTGAACAATGCCGATGATGGAGACGCAAAAAGGGGTTAAAAAAGAAGACAGAGGCGACTCTCGTGAGTCTATTATGCTACAAACACAGTCAACTTTCATTCCCGGATCTCGAAGCAAACAAGTCATTCTTCATTATCAATAGAGCGAAATCTTTTTCCAATATAAAAATCTTTAATTGACCAATCTTATGTTCGGTCAAGATGGCTGGATATTAGCATTGTCCTTTAACATTGGTATTTGTATGGACCTCAACTTCTTCTTGGTCCATAAGAATGCAAAAAAATAACTCGGCAAATATCCAGCTATCTTGACCTCACCCTTGGTCAATAACACATATATATTTCACGGGTAGGAACGCACGAACGCGTTTAAATAGGGTTCATGAAAATCAACTGTATAAATAATTTATACTTGTTCAGGCTTGACCTGTCAACAAATTCTGCTCTGTATTTTTGCAACAGATCGATATTACAACAAGAAGGGAAATTATCATATGTCATATAAAGAAAGAAATTAAATGCCCCCAGGAAATCAAAAGAAAGTAACTTTTGAGGATTTTAAGACGTTTAGTGATTTCACCTTACAGGTGACTGCACTGACAATGTGGCTCATTTCCATCCGGGACATTTGAATTGTAGGAGAGTTTCCATGACAGCTTACATTACGTACGTGTAAGCAATCGAGTAACTGCGGGAGTTGCAATTTGTTTTGGTAAAAGTGTGGTGTTTCAACTTGAGATCAGCAATGAAGAATTTCATAGTATTTTCGCTCTCTGTTTTTCTTATATTAAACACTGGACAGTCCTCGTCTGAGTTCTATTTTCCCAAAGAGAGCCTTGGCGACGTGGACTCATGGAACGATGGCGGCGTGGATAAGAAGTCGGAATCAAGTTCATCCAGTTCGTTTAGCTCGTCAAGCTCATCCAGTTCGTTCACCTCGTCAGGCTCATCGAGTTCGTCGGATTCATTTCATGAGAAGGTTGAAGTGTACGAAAAAAACACTGACGAAAAGGGAACGCATGAAGTAACGAAGATTCGCGAACGAAAGAAGCCAACAGGAGGGAATGAAACCTCCAGTAGTAAAGTTATCGAAGTGTTTCGATATCCTAATGGAACGATTCGTCGAAAGGTGAAAAACAATGGGCCTGCAATGAAGGTAAACCACTGAATGATACGTTGGTTCATTGGGAAACTTTAACCAAACTCAATATCTGTTTGAAATATTGGATTGCTATCTATACATATACTTGTAAATATTAGAACAGCTTTTTGTTTCATGGTCTCTCATGAGGGAAGTTCTATATATTCATATTCTTTGTTTGTGTTTTATGTCAAATATGAAAACTTCGTCAAAAAAGCGGAGATAAAAAACGGATTCTGGAGATGTACATGTACCTACCTTTTTCATGAATGTCTCAAAAAGTTAAGAAGGGATTCGACTTATAAATAAGAGGGAATAATTTGAAGTACATGTAAGATCAGATGCCAGCTTATTTTTCTCACAAATGAAGGGTATTTAACTTATCATGGAAATGAAAATTTCAATTTTTCTGGCTATTGTCTTTAAGACACGTATGAATGAGACATACTAATGAAGAAATGTTCCACAGAAATTGTATTCTGGACCTTGATTCAAACTCCCTCTTGGTAAACTTCCTGGTTAGTTTTCTTCTTTTATTTACACAATGTACCAATGTGCCTTTAGGCTGAATGTACCAAGAACGATGACTGCAGTGCTGATAAGTTCTGTAGCAAACTCAGTTATCAGTGTCAGCAATGCCTTGATGGGTTTGGTTGTTTTAATGATGACCAGTGCTGTGGCAAAAAAGTTTGCAAATTTGGCCAGTGTGCAGATGAACCAGGTAAGGAAATGCTAAATCAATACAGTGCAGCTCATACATGTAGAAAAGGGGACCAAAATATGGATGTTAACCCAGCATAGTGTACATTTAAAACCAGACGTACAGTATTTTTGACAGAGGAGCATATGTTTCTATCTGGTCACCACCTTTGTGTAATTAGTGTGTATGGCTAGCTTATTGTTTTCTTAAGGGTGGAAAAATAACTTTTCATTCCAATTAGCATTGTATTTGCTGTAAAAACTGGTGGTTAAGCTGCACCCAATGCTTAGAAGTAATTTTTTAGGTCATTTTGAACATTTTCTTATATGAATCAGTTTGAGAAGTTGGGGCAAATATCAAACAGTATAGTGGCTTTATGTTTTTAATTAGTCACTGAATATGCAAATGGAGTTAGGTTTGAATTATAATACCTTGACTTAAACATTTCATCAAAGGTTGTCATATGGGAAGAAACGAGCAAGAAAGTGTTGTTTTAAAATACCTTGTTCACAGGCTATTCCTTTCTTGACTTTGAAGAAAATAATAACATATGCCAATTAAATCTGCATAAGATCATGCGTGACTTGTTCATTTTGAGAGGATGAATGCATTTATAGTACTATATACCCATGAGAGTTGTTTATGTTGTCTTTGTTTCACCTGTCTTCTGCTGCTTTCTGTGACTTCATTGCCCACATTGTCCACAAATTACAAACTTTATAAGTCTGTTCTGTGCACTTTGTTTCTTGTGGGGGCCCATCTTGCCTGCTTGGATAGCCAATCAGAATGCAGGATTTGCTTCTTATTGCCCATGGACAATGTAATAAGATTATTTAATGACCCATTATTATTGAAATCAGACCTTCCTAAAAAATTTTGAAACAAGGAAAAGGGTCAAACTATAACCTACAACAGTAACCCTGTGCCTTTTATATGGTAAATTATAGCATGTAACTCTACATATTGTACAGCTGTTTATATTTCTTCAATTTTCATTTTTCTGACAACCAGAGCATACAGGGCTGGCCAACTCTCCATGCGATTATGACAGCCAGTGCAAGTCAGGCCTTTTCTGCTCAGTGCGTGTGTTTGAAGGTGGAAAGTGCAAAGATGTTAGAACAGAGGGACAGTCATGCAGCAGAGGGATTTTTTCAAGAAATCCACCCAGATGTGCTGAGGGTTTGGAGTGCAGAAGGACTGGGTAAGTTTGATTCTGACTGTATAGAGTCTTACCTCCTTTAGATACAATGTATATGACAATTAAAGATAAATTTATTTCTAGATTAAGTAACATAAATTAGATGTTATGATTGCCAAACATTATTCTATTCCTAGTCATGTGGCCGACTACTTGCAATCATACTTCAACAAATATATTTTCACTCTTTGGTTGTTTGTGTAAAGGTGCCATGCATGGTTATCAAATGGTTTTTTTCTTAACTGCACTGTGATACAAAGTAGGTGGCACAGTGGCATGCCTCCATGCTGAAAATTGAGCCACAAGCTTTTAGAGTAGCGGGCACTTTTACCAGAACAATATGGGGAAATGTGCTTATTTTCTGCCTCTTTTCAACAACCCTTTATGTGACCCATTATGCTTCAGCTAGAACTGGGAATCATCCAGTGATACACCTCAAGCATTATTCCCCAACTTTAAAATCTGGCATCCAATATGTAAAAAAAGTAGTGTTTTGCAACTACTTCAGAACAGTAGAGGAATTGTTTATTGTTAGAGAGACAAATGCAAATGTTTTCATTCCTAAAGTGGTTTGAGAAAATGCTGAAAATTAATATCCCATCTGACACAGTTAAAGTTTTAAATGTTAAGCTATTTTGAATTTTGTGTCCCTGGCACACACACTTAGAAAGTGACTTCCTTGAGCTTTGCTCTGGGAAAACTGTTTGCCTCTCAGAACAGACTATGTCTGTGAACAGGTATCTGAACAAATTTGCATGCTAAGTTAAGGTTACTGTTCACCTACATGTATGTTACTTAGAGTTCAGTAGATACATGTATTTTTGTTAATGTCATTTGCATGGATTTTTTTAGCCTAAAAATTATCTTTGTTGACTACCATTTATTCTCCAAATGTTTGTTGGAGAATATCTTTGTTCTGTTTGAGGACACATTACTCCTCTAGTGAGGATACATTACTCATCTAGTGAGGATACATTACTCCTCTAGTGATTTCATGAAGATCACAACATTTAGTGTGAAAATTAAACAAGTCATGCATTTGTCTGATATTGATGTGGTATTTTTGAGGAAGTTTAAAGTTGAATGGCTCACTCCAGGCAATTTTGTAGCTTTTGCAAAGAAACATCTGCACCATGTGCAATGTAATTGCTCCATCATACATCCTTGTTGTAAATTTAGAGACACTGGATTATATATTTTTTTCGATTCTCACTAAAGTGTTGTCGTCGTTTTATCTGCAGTGGCTTCCCCTTTTCCTCCTACAAGTGCCTGAAAGAAGGAAGTGTGGAAGATAAATCAACCAAATCATCTTTTGATTGGTTTCACGATAATGACTTCTTTCCCTTTAAAAAGTAGAGCTGGTCGTGTTCTTTTCCCTCATATTGAAAATTTAACTGAAGACACCAAATAATCCTCAGAAATTGAGAAATTTGAGAAAAGAGCGAAATCTGAGCCATGGCAATTTGATTTTCTTTGATAAATTATCAGGGCTATACCGTTTTTACTAGAATAGTGTGTAGCTGTAATTTGGTATCCAGAACTAGGGGTTAAACTGTTGTTACGAGCTACGTTACTTATATCTGTAGTACCCCAAGGTGCGGTTACTAAACAGAAATGGCTCTGCATAGATAGGTGGCTTCACATATTTCACAATGTTAGCTTCAGGCTTAGAAATTTTATTTATTGTGACCTAGTGGAAGTTTATAAACACTATGTCCTCCGAGTAAGATTATTAAAGATGTTTTAAAATGAGAATCAATTTGAAAGAATGGTGTTTAACTCTTTTAAGTATTTTCACTCTGTCAAGTCTGACGCCTCGACCTTACGAAGTGAATGTTATTCTGTTTAGTTAATAATTTGACAGAAGCTCTCTTCCTCTAACTTCCATTCAAACCTGAAAATGGAATGATGCCGTATCCTGACAGAGTAACGCCTTATCGAGGACCTGTTACGTTCACTGGGTAAGACTTGCACGCAATACACAAATTTGTGTGTACAGCCCGCGCAGGACACGCGTGTGTTGTAGCAATTCCTGCGGTCGATATACTCCTCTGAGGTGAAAAAAGTTCATAATAGTGGACTGTTGCCGTAAACACGGTGGAAAACTTGGTTTCCGGCAACTTTTTCCCGTCACTTTTAAAAATTGTACCGTGGGTACTGAGACAAGAATGGTATCTTCGTTCATAGTGGTCAGAGACCTTTGTTTGTTTAAAACCAAAAAAACGTTTAAGCAAATTAAAAATGGTGAAGGTGATCGAAGAAGTGAACCTTCCATTTCCTCATTTTCTTAATAATTAACAGAAATCGCTGTTAGGAAATTGGCAGTAAATTGGCACTAATTGGGTTAAGTGAATTTTATACTACGGTTTAATAAGTATCTCTCAATGTTCGACGAAGCGTTCATGCAGGTTCATCGCAGGTAGACTTTTAACATTTCCGAAATACTCGTATTGAATTGATTGGAATGTTTGTTTCTGTGGGATTTTGGGTTCCTTTTTGTCTCTTTGTTATACCTTATGTGGTAACTTCTTGCGCTAGTCCAGGTTTTGTGGTATTGTAGATTTCTAAATCTAAATTGGGTCAAAACCTGATTCAGTTTCTTTCTTACATTCAGAAGGAAGTCTCACGAAATAATTGCATAGCTTATTTATTTCAAATGTTGCCCAAATTAAATTTTGCTAACACAACTAAAAGTGGGACCAACAGCTTTCAAAGTGCAATGGCTTTTTTCACTCGGACAAGAAGGCGCTGAAACTGAAGTTGATTAAATATTCTTTAACCTACCACCTTGAAAATAAAGTCTAGCTGTAATGTTTTGATTTACAAGGTGTTGATCACTTTTTTTTGCGCATTTTTTTTGTTTTCATGTAAGCTGTGGTAGCCAAATTTAATACCTGTACCACAGATTTGAGTTATAATGAGCTAGCTTTCGTGTTGCTGCTATAACTAACCCATCACTTAACTCCCTCGTATCGAACCATTACTGCAATAAACTGAAGATTATTTCATAGAGAAAAAATCCATATACATGACATCCTCCGCAAGGCTGATATTTAATATCTCTACTTCACCTCCATAAGAGGAAGATTACACCCTGTTTAAGATAATTTTTGTGCAATTATCTCAACGAATCAATAATTCAACCTTTGTCGACAAATTGCGTCAAAGCACGTGTTTTAAACTCTATTTAGATCTTTGGATTCTCAAAGGTAAAACAATTATTTGAACTCCAGGTGGTGCAGAATAGGTTGGCCTCGTTAGAACTATAAAATGAACAAGATCGTCAGTTTGATTTTGCTCATATCTTTGACCGCACTTCATACTGATGCTAAGAAGACCAAGAAGGAAGAAGTAGATACACAACAAAAGGCTCTCGAAGAAAGTAATGAAGCCGAAGACCCCGAAGCAGGAGCAGCCGAGTTTCCAGGCTTTGCCCTTCGTATTCCTATTCCTAATTTAGGTGCTTTGTCTCACATACGACAACAATTGGAAAATCTCTTCCCCGGACCGAAACAAGCGGACTATAAACCTGGTAAGACCAAGACAACGACCACCTCGAAGAACTCGACTCATGGTCCGTTCAAGACATACAGTGTTACTGAGGAGACTGTGTCCACAGATAACAAGAGCTCACCTCATGTCTTGTCAAAGGTTTACAAGTCCATCACAACCCTTGATAAGGACAAACTGCCCAAAGGCAAAGATGGAAAAGTGAAGATTCCTTCCGCTATGGAGTTCGATTTCGGACCTTTTGGACCGCAATTTCACGATGAAGGTGGCAAGGTAAGAAGCACCCTCGCATCTCGTTTAGCCATGGAATTCAAAACGTTCGCTTCCTTTAATTTTATTTGCTATTACTGGCATTATTAGAAAATGTAAAAGAATAATTGAATTTCATTCCTTCCCGTGTACTGATACCGAGTCTAGGTTTTGACAAAACTCAAGGTGCTCGCTAAAATTTTCATTTTCCTTCAGTCTCGGTTTCATAACGTGATGCCAGGAGTTAAACTTAACTTTTTTTCAGCGAAATTTATCGATTTGATTGAGAATTTCACTATAATATTTCAGTGATTCAAACGAGAATATTTATTTATGAAGTGTGAAAGCACATCCACTTACAGCTTCAGTTACTTTAAGATATTTACCTGTAGATTTCAACATGTAAATATGTTTTAAAATGCCAGGCTGCTTCACTTTCCGCCTTTTCAAGTTCTCTTAAAAGAAGGGAAGAGAGAAACTACCAGCCTTAAGAAAGTATTTTTCGACGCGTGAGGATCATAAACTTAAAGAGTAGAATTCGTTTATGATCTCCAGACACTAACAGTGATTTACTGGTACCAGTTGAGGAACCTGTTGCACCACAGATAAAATGTACAGATGTCACTATCTGTTACGGTATTAAAGGAAAATGGCCTCACGGCAGATTGTGGTCATTTTTTAAAAGGGAAGTAGGTAGTGGGTAGAAAATGGAAATGTAAAACAAAGATGCCTGTTTATATCATGGCCCTGCAAATGATTGCTTGAAAAATAGATAATGATCACTTTTCTTCAATTGTGGATGGCAGGCAATCCTGAGGTAAATCAATGGTCGTTGCTAAGGTGACAACCTTGACAATAGAATCGTTTTCGCAAAGTTTAGTAGCTCCATCTAAGCATTTGTATCAAACTTTAAATTCTATTTCAAACTCATTTCACATTTTACATTTCAGAAATGCAGCGCATCATCTGAATGTGGTAATGTGGAATACTGTGACGCGTTTTTCGGTGTGTGTAAGAAACGTTTGAGTGATGGAGCAGCTTGCACTCAGAAAGACCAGTGCGAGGACAAGTTTAGATGTACCTGGGGTCGCTGTATAAAGAATTCCGAGGAGGGTAGTTCAGGTGAGTCCTTAGTTAAAATTGACTAATGTTACATGATCACCCTTTTGGCATTTTGATGGGACAGAATCACTAGGGATAGGAGATATAGTGAAAGACATGGTGGCCACGTGATACAAACTTTGGATCGAAAAGTCCTGGTTCGAATTTAAGTCGGGCCATATTGTGTTCGTATGTATATTTCTTAACTCTCAAAGGGGCCCTCCACATTTAGGAGGAGTATAAATGGCATCAGCGAACTGTCAGCTGACAATAGTATAACAGGGTAATTTAGTATTATCAAAAAAGAGTTTAAAAGCTGATGCGTCGAGCGTTAGCCCTTCGTCAGAGCGATTAAAGGAATTATGGGTTGTGCGTGGGTTTATATGTAGAAAATGGAGCTACGCTATTGGTGGGAATATGGTGACGAGAAAGCAAGAATAAATTAATTGAATAAAAAGCGCTCGTTGATACCATGGGGATTAAGAGTGCCGATAACTTCTAATGGAAAACGATGTCACCCAAGAGGAGAAGCGAAAAGCTTCTCTCCCAGGGGCTTCAAGCGATGGAAAACAACCTAAGCTTCGAAGTGGATGGGCTCTGGGCATTGGGTGTGCAAGACTGAAAGCCTCTCTGTAATAATTCTCATTAAAATATTGAATAGTATAACACAACAATGTTCCTGGCTTGGGGTCAAACCAAGAATATTCTAGTCTAAGCTGTTTCTAGTTGATAACGGGTCGCCTACCGAGCCATGTTAAATTTTAAGAATAGGCAGAGAGAAGACATGCAAGCTGGTCTCGCTGCTAAGGAGAACGGCCCCGGTGGGCCAGGGCAGATTTTTCCACCCGTTGGCCTCTTTGTCAAATTCCTTACTTTTTATTACTTCTTTTCTTTTGAGTATTTGAGTATCTGTAGGGTTTCCATTCTCCAAGGGAAAAAAGTTAGAAGACCCAAGAACTCATGCTACACCTTTTATAATCGTTTGTAGGCACATTCTGTGACTCGGACAGTGATTGCCATTCTGCGGACGAGGAACTCAGCTGCAGAGAGCAGCCGGATATCAGTCGTTACTTCCGTCTGTGTATGGCCAAGTTAGGAGAAGGAGCTACTTGTGGCCACGCTGGCCTCTTTGATTTGTTCAGACCAGCTGAGGAGGTGTCGAACTACTGCAAGAAGGGACTCGTGTGCAAGACTGTTGGGTAGGTCGAGATCTACTTGCTACTGTAAACTTTATGGCAAACCTTCCCCTTCGTCCTTGGTTTTTAAGAGTTGTCCTAATTTTTTTGAGCAAAGCCTGAGCTCGGCTTCAACTCGCAGTTAGAACTGTGGGTGAGTATCCATGTGTAAGAATGTTATGGATTTGAAAAATATGGACATTCTGTGTTTTTTTTATTTGAGGAGAGAGTTGATTATGAGTTGATACTTCAATCAAGGGAAGGCGGAAGCCGGAGTAGTTGTACCATTGAGTTCTTTTGCGGCGGGCACCTGAAGCAAGAAGGTTTACCCGAGTGGTTAGTTCGCTCCCTCGACCAAGTCCCCTCTCGATAAATGGTCCCCTCCTGTAAATCCATTCCCGTTCGGAATGTTTTTTTTCATCTAACAAATGAAGTAAAAACCATATTAGCTTTAATTAACTACTCAGTTGCTAATTAACGAACTTGTTTTATCAAGGTTTTTTGGCCGTAAGGCTTGCATCCGACCTGAGGAGACAAAGTCCATCGACGATGAAGTTTCGAAAAAGGAAATAAAACCGAGCAAGGCCGGGAAAACAGGCAAGGAAAAGAAAATAAAGTTTTAAACAACAATACTCCAATGGAAGCTACGTTATGTTGTTAAGAAACTGGACAAGAAATAATTGATTTGTAAAGATATTAAGTTGGATAAAATAAAGTAAAAAATTGTAAACTAAAACGCTGTATACACTGAGTCTTGAATCAGAGTTGTGTGTCTCTTTACTTCTCTTTCGATTACCTTTTCCGGGACTATACAAACAAAGAAAGCGTACAAACGAACTACCAGAAATAAACTCTACTGTGTGAGGCTTGAATAAAAGACTTAAATTGGCTTATTTGTTTTCAACTTAAAGGGAGATGTGTTGAAGAGTGCTGTGCAAATTCAGCTTTTTTCCGTTAATTTTACACTTAAATTACATGCACAGGCATATTTGGGATTCTACATTAAGTCCTAGTTCACTAAAGACCGCAGCATTTTGGTAACCAGGTCTTACTTAACTGATTAATGGACTTTCAGAGGTCTGGATATTGCTGTAGTTAAACAGCAAGGTTGTCATTTCAGGATTGACCAATTTATCGACGGGTAGTTCCATTCTTGTTAATTGGAAGTGCCTAGTACAAGTACCTTTCCTGTAATTCCAAGCCCATCCCCTGGAGGAGATTCTTAAATAACTTCCCGTAACGATATAAGCAACCAGGAGATGTGAAAAGGCCTCTATCAATTTTGGGTGTGTTTTTTAATCTCGGGCTCTTCTTAACATAAAACCAAATTTTTCAAAATATTGTATGAGTAATTGTGTAGCAGTGAGAAGGGAGAATTTATTTTGAGATACTGGGAGATTATCAGTGTTGATTACTTTATTTACACATTATATAACTCCATTATGAGAGATCCGGCAACAATTCAACCGAGTTTCGCCGTCCTTCGTGTGGGCCAAGAGTTTCTTTCACGAGACTAACGTGGCAGTTTATAGGATTAGTTGAAAAAAAGATCTGATCTGCGCTATTCCTCGCCCTCTTTGAGGCAAATAAAGTGAAGGCCATTAGTTCTGTGAGAAAAGAAAAAAGACACAGTAAGAAGGGAGGTGAAGTTTATTTCCAGCGATTTGGTTTTAACAAGATATGTTTTAAATGTAATCACCTCTCAAGAAATTTTTTTCTGAATAAGAATAACATGCACAAATAAAGAATTCAACCCCAAACAAAGAAAGTAAGAAACAAATCAGAAAACAAAAGCTCCACACGGTTATTTTTCATGCTTAGCGATTTTTATTCCAAATTATTTATATCGAGCGGTACATACGAACGTCTTCTTAAACAAAACTTTATCCTGTTGGTAGTAATGCAATACAAATTGAACTTACCCAACATTCTTACATTGGAGTCCAACTTTACAAGGTCCGCAATCTGGTTCCACCATACCACCTGTGTATACATGGTGGAACAAATTGATTGGGCCACACGACTCAAACTCATCTAGCATTGGCTTGCACATGGACGTGTGTGGATTGACGGAAATCTCCCGAATACAGCACGATTCTTTGCCGAGACAATCCGAAGTCCTGTCGCAATACGTACCAGGCTCCCCTTGCTGTACGCCCTTGGTGCATTGGCCATATTGACAAGCGTATCCCTCACAGCAGGTTCCTTAAAGAAAAAAAACCATTTCTTTAGTTGGAAATAGCGTAAAATCATCTTCAACTAGTATTTCCTTACCAATGAAATGACAGGCTGCTCTTTCGTGCAGACATGCCCTGCATGTATGAACGTCACAAAACTTCCCGGCTGGACAATCTTTGTTCACATTGCATTCGTCGGTCCCAGCCTCTACCATTGCGCGATAATGCCAAGGTGACGGCATGTGCAATATAAATTGCTAAAAAGGAAATGTAGAGAAATAGTGAGTATTACATGTATGGTACACTGAATAGTAAATAGTACAGCATCACTCAAAGGAGAAATTTTAAGGCGGATGTAGCTCTTCAAGTGCTGTCGAGTCAGCAGTTCATTTGTCGCTGAACAACACGATTCTTCAGATCATTGATAGTTGCGGGAACGATTCAAAAGGATAAGTTACCCTGATATCAACTGGTAAGATTCTGGCCGAATGGGGTGTCGCCTATTACTTTGGTTATAGTCATCGGCCAAACAAAATTCGGCAACAACTTACACTAACTGTTGTCCGATATTTTTAGTAGTTATTGTACATTTTGACTGGTCATCAGCTCACGACCACTTGATAAACGACTTATTGAATTGCCTGTTCAGTCGGTACCCGGTTGACAATGGGCTGTTTGCGTCGATCTTTGTGTGAAATAAAACTGAGACCAGAAAGACCGCAAAATATTGTAATACCCAGGCACGGCTAAGCACTAAATATCAACCTAGTTCCCTTCATATGTTGTCGATGACTCACAGAATAACAATTCTTGGTTTTTTACCCGTCTCTCCGATGCATCTGCGCGGCTTTTCCCCTTCGGACTATTTACTTCCTTAATTCTTCCAGAAGCTGCGACTGTGTTGAATAGTTTTAGAGTTAATACAAACAGTCCTAGTTTAGAAAACATTTCATGCCATTTTCGTAACCAAAGCAAGCGTCTCTTGTATTCGAGTCACTGACATAAATTATTCATTGGGTAAAAATTTAGCACTTGAACAAGTTGGTATTTGTGAGGATCAGGTCAAGTCCCATTTGAATATTGAATATATACTGACTGGTCTTTTCCATTGAATAAAATTATTCCATCCCTTCGAAGAAAAATGTCAACATGGCTGTTTCGAGAGGATCTCCTCTCGGCTTTCGATGACCTCAAATTGTTTGAATAAATTCTCTTTCTTCGTTTAAAATGACGAGCACTGTAATCTTTGGAGCTCGTGCATTCTGGTCACTGAGAACGATGTACAGTAGGCTATACCATAATACATAAAGTGAATTTGGGTAAAGCCGCGGCCACAAAGTGAAATAGGTTGGATGCTTTTGAGCAGTGCATCCTCTTGTCTAATTTCTTCTCCAGTTTGCAGCCTCTGTTAATATATTTTAAGCTGGAAAATGATAACGTTGACAAGGTTCGGGTTTTGCTTTTGACGCAAGTCATTTGTCTGTAGGTTAAATTATAATCTTTGGTCGATGTACTCGATCCTCGATAAAATCGGTCCCTCATACATACGATTGATTTTGTTTGTTTTCTTAGTGATAATCGCTTGCTTTCATTGGTTAAAAGTGGTGTTGCCGATGACACTTAGGGTGCGAATAATTGCTACGGAGAGAAAAGGTTAACTTAAAGGCTGCAAGATAAAAATGGTTTTGCAACTGTGAGCAAATTTACCAATAGTTTCTTCGACACAAATCAATCCCTAGTTCCCGAGGCAATTAACTTAGAAGCTATCAGATACTTGTTTTAAATACCCTTAGCTGAGTTGGTTTGAGATATTAAGTTGCTAAGAGACTATTTCCTTAGCTGCTTTGCCACTGAAACTAAGTGTAGAGATATGATAAGATATCTCGCTTTGGTTGGTATTACTACATATCTGTGTGTTTCTTCACAAAAGGCAACAAAGCTTTTTCCATGCCCTCTTTGTTCCTAACTACCGGTACCAGTTTACGGCGAGCACCCAACGAATCGCCTTATTTCTTCAGAAAGGGATAACGACCGAAAATGCATCTCGACGAACACATCAAGCGAAATTTGTTTCGTGAAGATTAGGCATAGCTTAAAAATTGAAGAAAACTATCAACTAACACTTGGATTTATATTGATCCTTTTCACACGGTGGAGTGAATACTGGGCTTTGACGGAAACTATTAATAATAGATGACCGAATGAAATAATTCTGGCCACATAAACGCTCTGTAACTTGGCCCGAAGTCGAAGGCCTAGCGAAAATTAGGACTTCAAAGAGTCCTCTTCGTGACGAAATGAACTTAAAGTCGAAATGGTGGCTTTTAATAGGAACTATACTTAGCCAAATTTGGCTACCTTGGGCAACTGCCAAGAAGAACATCGCCCTAAAGCAATTATTGAAAAAAGAAGAGCAGTTATCCGAAAATACCAGAGTTAAAAAGGTAAGTTTGGGCAACCTAAATTTGGTTAGATATTTCTGTGATAGAGGTCACAGGTATGTTTATTTGAGAAATAAGGCGATCAAAATCCAGATTGTTTTGATTAGCGAAGACGACCATGTATAGGCTGCCTCGCAACGCCGAAGTTGATCCAAATCAGCGCCCGGGACCAGTAATTACTCGAAAAACCACCGTGAAGGTGTTGCTAAAAGCGCACCCAGATCACGAGTCTAAAAGATAAACAAACTATAACAGAAGGAGAACTTGGTCGTAGTTTAACAATGATGGCGTGACTTGTCTATACTAGGACTTTACCACAAGTGCCTCCCATTTTCTTTTTGTTTTGTCGAAGCCGTTTGTAATGTCAGTTCAAAGCCATAACAAACAAATAGTGGTATTTAATTTACATACCTTAGTATTGCTGAAAGACAAGAGCCCCTTGAGGAGAGGCTCTGTATGGTATGCCCTACAGAGCCTACATCTAGAGGAATGATTCCATTTGATTCAGTTCACTCATTAGTGTTTAACAATATGCCCCAAAGCTTACATGGCCGTGACTAACTTAGATTCATAACATCACTAAAAATTCCTCGGCAAGCTGTCTTGTGGATGTATGTTTATTTTGGACGGAGACGTCGATGCAAATTGACCTTCCTATTCACTGTGATGATTAAAATTTAAATCTCTTGACTCAGGACATGATGCAGCCATTTCCCCAGATGGAGTCCGATATGGCCCCACTTGCCAATGCTGGGGTAGAAAAACCGCAGCCACGCATGCTTGCACCAGGATATTACTCTCAAGAATGCAATGCCCACAAGCCTTGTGACCAAGGTTAGTTGAAATGTGAAGACCCTTTTTCCATGAGACAAAAAAAAAATTTACAACGGGATCAAGCAGAGGTTACGATCCCTATAGCGTACCGTGAAGATAAGTAGTTGAACAAGCACTTAATCACAGGGACTGCAGAGAACGCGATGGCCATTGTGTTTGCGCACTGGAGTTTGGATTAAGAGGTCCAGACTCAAGTCATTAGTGTTGTTAATGTGCTCTGTTCTTGTACAAGGCACTTTCCTCTTTAGTACAGGCCCCTCCTCACCTACCAGGATCATTATTTATTGGTAGTAAAAATGAGTGCCGTCGATTTGAAGGGGAAATTTGACGATATGATGGCCAGGGGTAAACTGCTATGTGCTGGCATCACATGCAGGAGGTGTAGTGATATGCCGAATAGTTTTATGATACTTGGCATAGTTTTCAGCTCGGCTTTGGTATAAGCTCTGGCAATAAAATGAACCTAGTTGATGGGATTATTTTAACTGTGATTACTAATCAGAGAACGAAAATTAAGTTTTCGAAAAGGATTTAATGGTTAAATACTGCAAAAAAAAAGGTTTAAAAGTACTAAAGTTAGCTCTGAAACGACCGGAGAAAAATAACAGCGAAAATGTGTACTATCCACTGAGGTCAGTTTGGGTTACTACCTTTTAGGCTTTGCTATTACGACCACTGAGTTTGTTGAGATTCCTTGTTTTGTTTCTTTGTGTGATTTTCAGGAAAGTATTGTCACATGTTTCTGTGTGTACACTGCTTAAAGGAAAATGTCGCCTGCACTCAAAATGGTCAGTGTTGTCATGGCCAGTGTACTTATGGCCGATGTAAAAAAGATGCCTCTGGAGGTTCTCCTGGAACATTCTGTGATCGACACGATGATTGTAAAGACCCTCCTGGAACGTGTTGTGTTAGGTTTGTATGTAAACAAAGGAAGGGAACAAGTTAAGGTACTCGATCTCTCGCGTGATTTTCTTTCCAGAGTTAATCCTACTAAATTTATTTTATAGACTAAAGGAATTTGCTCTACCTGGAATAATTTTACGCATTCCTTGCATGTTGTTAAAATGTTTTATGGAGAACAAACAGACATCTCATGAGATGTTGGCGTTGGCGAAATTTATAATAGTTTATGACTACTTTTTAGATCCTTCTGGGGTACTTGAAACGAGTCATCTAATGATTATTTTGAAAGGATCGCCTTAACGAAAAAGGCCACCTTGAAAGTCCAGTCTCTTAGCTTCATTTTCTCAGTGCAAGGATCCACAGAGTGACGGCAAATTGTAAAAGACGCATACGTGTTGGGAAACTTACAACTAGGCTATAAAATCACGAAATAAGAAAAATGCGAGCATGTAGACAAGCATACAGAGAAGCATGCGTATCCACCCACCTGTACGCTTGTCTACATGGTAATGTTTCGATGAATAGGCGGGCTGATAGACAGGCCATTTGAGAAAGTTCAAAGGCAGATAGACAAACAGAAGGGTAGACTGTAGGTTCATTCGGAGACGTATTTGTTTTTTGTTGTGTTATGTCATTTCAGAGAACCAGCCATCAATCCGCATATCTCCGTTTGCAAGCCACCCTTGGAAGAGAACATGGTTTGTGGTCCCATCAACTTCTTTAAAAATGTTTACATTGGAGCTCAGGTACAAAGAGCTTGCGGCCCATGCAAGGCGGGACTTGTATGTAAGCAAGTTGGGTAAGTCAGAACATTGATAGGAGATGCACTTGGCAAGGCGTAATGATCATACTTGATATATAATTATTTGATTTGATTGACTTTCCTGTTCTGGAGAATTCCATTTTATATTATTTGCAATCGTCGACGAAATTTTCCAACTTTGTGTGTTTTTCTTTCGCAGAATATTTGGAGTGCATGAGATTTGTGTGAAAGAAGATGACAAGTAATGATCTCAATTTTTTGGCTAAAGTAGAGAGCTTTATGAATTGTGTAAGGACTGTATCAAAGTGTTTGTAAACTTGCCCTCAGAAATGGGAAGATCGAAGCAATGGTTCGCAAAAGTTTGATAACGCTTGTAGTTGGATCGTAAGTTCGCAAATAACCTGTTTCTTTCAAATCAAGTCTACTTTGCAAGTATCCTACGACGGATACTGGTAAAGGTAATTTGACTATATTCATGTGGCTAATGAGTACCCTTAAATCTAACACAGACACAGTTCGAGATTCAGGGGAGCATTTCATTTTAAACCAAAGATTTGCAAACCATTTAATTTGACTTCTGAAAATGCTCTTTGTATGGCACTGATCCTTGGAAATCTGAGCTCAGTGATTAACGGGAGAACTTATAACCTCACTATTTTTATCGTGTAAAAAAGCGCATACAGTTGATCACCAAATCTTTTTTATAAGAGCTAAGATTACAAACATACGTCTCTCATGATACCACTGGTACTCTTATTATTTAATTCCCTATTAATATAATTTCTTGTAATTGGTGTTAAAAAAAGCAATAAAATGTATTTTCTTATATTGATGTCAATATATGTTTGTATCGTCAGAAACTTTTTGGACTTTAGTATGAGAACTGGGTCAACTTGAATTTTAGTCGTAATAATGTACATGAAAAAATCACGCGCTTCTGATTGGCTGAATACGAGTGCATTCTCATGTAATACGAGTGCATTCTCATGTAACACGAGTGCAAAGTAATGTAAGTCAAAACGCACCGCTTTCAAAATTTCGTCTGTCTTGACTTTCTGCGATGTTTTTTCATGTACATTATTAACAAGTAATAAGATGATTTCTCTTGTAATTTGGTGTAATAAGCACTTGTAAATTTTTCAAAGACTACAAATTGTACTTGCTCTACGGGCTCGTACAATTTTGTCTTTGAGAAATTTACTCGAGCTTATTTACATCAAATTTCATTTGAAATCATGTTATTGTCTCTAAAAACAGCGTGGCTTTGTTGGAGAGGGATGGCATTAAACATTGCTTCACAGTAAGTCACCTCTGATGATATTTATAATATTCTCCTTTCGACTTTGAATTTGAGATGTTGTTAGATAAATGGTTTATTTCACGTACTTTCCAAAATATAAAAGTAAATTTTATTTCACACCAGAAGACAGCACAGAAAGAGAATATGCAATTACACGACCGTCTGAAATCCACACATATTGCGAAAGCAGCATGCATGCAGCAATTAGCAAAAATGCCACGCAGCGGAAATGGCATTTGCTTAATAGTATGTTCATTTACTATTAACCCATCGGTTACCTTGGTCTCAAGTTTTTTTTTAGATGGAGATTTCATTTCACTTACTCCAATTTATCTTAAAATGGCATATAAATTATTCCATTTAAGTGACAGGGCACATATAAACGAAAACTGTATGACACACTCACTGATTCCAAAACTTCTTACAGAATGAATGCTTTCCCAGCAAAATGGGAAAGAAATTCGTTTCACACTACTGAAAAATGTCAAAATGATAGATTTAATGATAGTGTTTTATTTATAACTTTTTAGTCGTGGCTCAACATTGTATCCGGGACGCTTCCCACTTGTCAGCGTAGTTCTACTTCTTCCCAGGGGGACTTGCTTCAGGCAGGCAAACTTGATGAACACCGAATATTCTGAAGAAAGGGCAATAATGAACAATAAATGCAGTGATATGCTAATTGGTCTCAGGAGCCAAGAGGCTCATACCAACAGAGCTTATCCCGGTTTCATAAACAGAAAGCGACACAGAATAATGATGCTCTCCCTGACCTTCCTAGCATTTCATAAGGTTTACAATATCTTCTCCTCTCTACTTTGTGGCCAAAATTTTGTTTTGGTAACTCTAAAATTTTAAATTGCATTGTCATGTGGCAAAATATCATGTATGTATCTCGATACTCTTAAGGTTAGATATAGGGGTTATAAGATTGTTTTTCTACAAAATCATAGTAGCTTATAAACGTATGGCCTCATTCGATACCAAGCCTTTCTCTTTTTGATGTGGTTGTACTTACCCTACTTGTTTGCAAGTCAAGCCCTGTTTACAAGGACCACAGGCCGGTTGCACAGTACCACCAATATACATTGTCCTGTACTGATTGTACGGTCCACATGTTTGATGTTCATCAAGGGCGGGCTTACAAATTGAGATGGCGGGGTTGATGGCGGGCTCACGGACACAACAGAGGTCCTGGTCCTTACAATCACTTTGTCTATCGCAGAACGATCCTGGAAAGAAAGAAAGTAGGGCTTTCGGTCAATATTCCTGTGAATAACAGCTTAGTTTATGAAAGCTTAGTTTAGGACGAGAAGCGATCAGATCCGTATGGAGCTGTAAAAGTTTTCATTGAGAGCTTTTGTTTTAATCATTTTGCAACACTTATTGCTGATGTCAAATCAACAAAAAAACTGAGTTCCGAAAATGATTGCAAGTATATTAGTCGCAATTGCCGTCTTTTCGCCTCTACACGCGGATCTCTCGCGAAGAATTTAGCAATCATCGATGATTTGTCGCTCGATGCTGTCTTTGAGGTTTCTTTTTAGGTAGTTGGAGGCTTTGCAGCTGTTAACAGACAAACATTCAAGCAAGAGGACGCCTGCAAGGCTCCATGGGGAATTCTTAATCATCACATTTCCTTCTCTAGGCCTGGTGACTAATTGCTTTGAACAACATTTTCGTCACGGGTTTTCGGACACACTTTATTGCAAAAGTGATCTTTGCCTCTACGGTTTGTTACGGAGTGCGCACTTGGCCGCAAAATAAAAATCGATATTTAGACCAAGTTAGACAAATTGCAATACCGAGTCATTTAACTACATATTGAGAAATTTTCTGGCGGGCAAGGGCACACAAGAAGGGGCTGTACATACAGACAGTAAATTATAGAGTTTTTACCTGCGTTTCCTGCAGTAGAACCAGCCTTACACCGACCGTAAATGCACTCCGATGAAGGACAACACTGACCATTTTGTGTACAGGCTACATTTTCTTTCAAACAATCAACGCACAGAAACATGTGACAATACTTGACTGGGTCTTTGCATTGCTTGTGAGCATTACATTCCTGAGAGTAGTAGCCTGGGGATATCATCTGAAACATAATTAAGATCAGAAATTTATCACGACATTGAAGTTCCAGTAACTGCGTAGTTGGATATTATTACCTTCAGTGGTCTGGAGAGATAAATTAAGCTTCATAACTTCCTGGTGGGGCGATTACCATAGTAACTGAACATCTGCTTCATTCCGAAAGCACAATGCGAAGAAATTAGTTGAATAAAAGTGATGGATAAATAATTTTAGAGTGTGTTTTCTATGGAGTCAGCATTTCTATTTTCTCTCAGAAGAGGAAAATAACGATTGTTTTAAGTCTTAAAACAAGCTCGAGAAGAGAGTAAAAGATAATCGACGAGGTTTTCAAAAAAGAGGATACTTTTCTAAAGAAACTGCGCTGCTGCGTCAGTGGGATGTTTTACAAGATAATTTGGTTGCATCAACTGAGTCATGATATTGTAAAGAGTTTCAAAAATTAACATTTCGAGCGTTAGCCCTTCGTCAATATTTTGTTGAGTATAATAAATTTGTGATACGAAACTCCTATTCTGCTGGATGCACTTAACTATTTCAGAGAAACAATTTGATCAACGATTGGACTGAATCATTACCATATATCTCCTTGCCTTCTGACAACGATATCTTAAGATCTTTAGTCTGATCAAGCTTTAAAATCGGTTCAATCTATCTACTCAAGGAGCTTTGCAACCAAAAAAAAAGCGTGGCGAAATCGAACTTGTATTTCGTCGATAAATTTCGTGTTATTTGCTTGACCGAAATGTGATCAACAGGTGTTCACACTGAGGTTAAACAGCTTTAAAATCGAGTAAAGCTGATCATACACCTGCAGCTACAGGCTACAAGAGTAATTACGGATCTCACTCTTTTCGATTGTCGAGTAATTTTTGTTGTATATTACTCCGATATAAACAAAATTAAAGATCAAAATAGAGAAACATTAAAAATTCAAAATGGTGGACCTGATTCAATGATTAAGTCTAAAAGTGGGAAGAGCGTAGTTGAGTCATTTGAGATTTGAGAAGTGACAGTGCTTCTTGTGCTCACGATTTTGAGGAAATGAAACAATTCTATTATCGAAGAAATGATTATGATGAAGAACTTTGCCTACCTTTTTAACTCTAACGTCCTTGTCTTCATCTGTCGGCGTCCTCTTATGTATTATACTGGTCATTGCACAAACAAAACAATAACAAAATAGCCACAGAAGAGGATAAAGCCTTGAAAATCGAAAACTGTCTGCCATGATGATGTTTATGACTAAATGATCATGTCTACAGATATTATGTGCTACTTTTTTTCACTTTTCACGCTCTGTAAAGCGCGGTTTTTCGAATGAAGGAATAAACAAGAAACAAAAGCATTAATTCTTAATGACTTCGATTAGATAATACAACTGAAAATGGCACTTTGAGAGATCACTGAACGCCAGTGAATAAAGAATGGAGCACCTGAAAGTTACCCGCTCGCGATTGTTTCAAAGTTCTTGCAAGGTCTTCGAAGGAGTAGAACCATTGATGAAACGCCAATAATTCGTTTTTTATAGAAAGCGGACAAAAATAAACTGGAACACAGTGGACCTTATTCTTAAATTGCGGGCTATTATTTTCTGCTCTTTTATATTCTTTTGAAGGAAAATTCAAAACAACCTTGGCTTAGCTTTCTTTTTGCCAAGGGAAAAGTAGATTAGGAAGCATGAAGTATTGTACAAAATACACGGAGAAGATCCAAACGTTCTCAAATATTTCCAAGATTGTTTACCTGAAGTTTGATTTAACAATTTAACAAAAAGGGCGACAACACCTGGCTAGAGTGAGGGCCCTCCGAGGGAACAAAAACGTCGCGCATGCGTGTTAAGGACTTGACTGCGATTTGCAACTGAACGGAAAAAGGAACGAAGCCGGAATTTCAACTCGGGCGTTTCCTTTGGACCTTACCTCTCATTTAATAAAAGTTTCATTAGATTTGATTACAAATTGCATTGAACAAAACATTCTTGTTGCTTAACACAAAGGAAAGACGCTATGTCCGTTTCTGTAAACTTCGCAGTATTTGCACGGGATTTTAACGTCGTAATTTCACTACATCTTGGCTTTCACTTGAAGTAATTTTCACGCGGTTTCATAAACATTGGTGAAAATCACTCGGCAAAAATCGCTCTGGTTTCCCCGTACTTAGACTGCCGGTCTCAGTAAGTACGAAGATTGATCGGATCAATCTTCGTAAATTCAACACGTTTCATTTAATCTAACGGTAAACATTCCATAATTGAGACGATACAGATAAGGTTTTAGTTCCTTTCGCCGTATTTGTCTGCACTTCTAATTTCGCAATATACAACAACAACTTGGCTTTCATTTGATGTAAATTTCTTACGACAGGTTAAACCTAACGCCTGATTCAAACCCGCGGCTCTTGTAGAAGAAGGTGCGAATTTTTCTCCTCCGAAGGGAAAACAGGTCTTGCAAGAGAGTTGCTTCTCTTTTAAAAACTTTCATAGTTTTAATCCAAATCCTAATAAACATTTAAAACAATTAACAAAGTTTTAACCGGAGTGCGAAATTTTAATGTCGAGCAAGATAGGAAAACATTGAGGGGCTTAAGATGGCGGGCCAAAACATCTCACCTCTAACTGATCACGTAAAAGGATTACTATGCATGAACAAAACAAAAATGGTAGTAAGTTACCCAGCTTTCTCCGCACACAAGGAACAAAATTATTATTGCGAAGTATACACGCGCTATGATAGATGGCATTTACCTGAAGCACACTGACTAGAGTTCATTCAGAAGACCCGAAAAAGGTTAAGGCGCCCAAAAAATTATCGAGCAAAACCCTGCTAACTAACATAAGAGTGCAAATGCTGATATGCGTAGAACTTCGATAAGAGTTGGTCTGTCGGAGGGAAAAAAGTCAAAACCGCTTGGACCAACAATAGGGACAAAATAATTGATAATCAAGCAAAGAAATTCCTCGAAATTTAATAATCCAACTGTAAAAAAGATCATCATAAAAAGTTAACAGTAGTTTTAATAAGCAGTTTAAAGATATTTTTAGCCTTGAAAATTACATGTCAGTGCAGCGAACTAAGAAAACCGCGGCCTGAAGAGAATAATTTTCCAGCGTCTCTTTGTTCTGATTATTTCAATAACCGGCGTTGCAAATGATGGCGCATAATGGTTTGACGAATGAAGCTCTAATATTTTCTGCTTCTGAGCTCACACTTCAACCGCTTCTAATAAAGAACACATGATTCAAATAAATGCTCGGTACATTTTACTTCTTGCCTTTAGCCATAAAGACAGTCCGATTGTCTAAATCTAGTAATCTAGTGTAAAGTATTAGGCAATTCTGTAGTCGTAGAGGCAGAAACATTTAGTTCACGGCAAACTTCCTCAAAAGTATTTTCACGCACTTCCTAATGTCCTTTTTGTAAAAAGCGTATACGAAGGGGTTGGCGGAGAGGTGGATGATGTAGAAAAGACGAATGATTTTATCCAGGATGTTTGGTAAAACGCACGTTTTGGTCACAAAGCAGTAACAGATGACATTTCCTCCGGCATAAGTGATGTTGAAGAGCGTAATGATTAAGATAATCATAATCGAGGTTCTCCTTTCGGGACGCAAAAGTGACTTGCAGCTGGCGAGGTAAGCGGCGTGATTGTAGCGGACTTGAGCTTCTAGCGCGTAGCACTGACGTGTTATCTTCCTGGCTGTAAGGATGAGACGAAGAGTGACAAGGACAAAGAAAATGGACGGAAACACTTGGAAAACGAAGATTCTATTGATCTCTGATACCATTGTGAACACTTCGTTATCTCTGTACGAAAGGGCAGCGGGGAGCGTGAAGAAAATTAGTGGAAATAGCCACGCTATGAAAATTAGGAATATAGCTTTCTTTCTGTTCATGTATTGGGCGTACTTGAAAGGCTTGCTGACTGCCATGTAGCGGTCCATAGTAAGAACGCACAAGTTAGTTGTTGAGCTGTAGAGGAATGTGAAGCAGATCTTGTACCACAAACCAGCGTGACCTAGATCAATATTGTAGTGGAAGTTTGCAAAATATCTCACTGGTAGAAATGTTAGGGCAGCGATGAAATCCGCCACGGCTAAAGATAAAATAAACCAGTTGGTTATTGTGTGCAGACTGCGTTTGAAAACGATGAGAAAGAACACTGAGCCATTTCCAAGGAGAGCCAAAATGGTGATAAACCATCCCAGAGCCCAATACCATATCATCGTGCTGTGGGCTTAAGTGCCAAAGAAGACGAATAATTTTCAGAGATTAGTAGCGTCCCTTTTTCTTTTGTCAGAGTGAAATGCTGTTGAGCGGTGACCATCGGCTTTATTCAAATTATTTGAGAGACACTTTCCTATTGTTTGGGAAACAAAAAAAAAATGACACAAAAAACATTGCACATAGAGGAAGTTTTCATGGGTTGAAGTGACGTGTCTCTACGCCTTCAAAGCTCCCTATTGGATACTGATTTTGGCTCTATATTCTTTTTTAAGACTAAATCATACTCCTACTCAATTCAGTTTGCTATCGTTTCTTTGTCTTCAAGTAAGCTTCAAGAGAATATTCAAGGAAGGTAGTTGAGCCATGACAGCCTAAGCCGCGGGTGACAGCAGCGGGGAACGGTGCCTTCAATAATTTTCTATGCAGCAGTCAAAGCTGTCACGACCTTGACAATCATGATTTTATTGTCTGGATAAAATCCCAAGGGAAGAAATTGCGAGAAAGAGGTATGGCGAACGCGAAAACTTTCAGCGGCAAAGCGCACGCGGCTTCTCTGCGTCATCTTGTTATATAATGGCCTGTTTTGTTGTGCAGCTTTATACCATGAGCTGAATTTGACTAAGAAAGTATGCTTTTAGATTGTATCTCGGCTTTGTGGCTATGAATTCGACTCAAGTTGTTAAAGGTCGGAGTTTCTTTTTCCAAAAGCGTGCCTGTTATGATTGTCTTTAGAAAACCGTCATTCAGCAAATAGCATTTAAACACAAAGCTCTTTGAAAAAACTCCCTAGAGAACGTAAATTGATATTTTTTTTTATTAATTTTGAAGTGAGGTCGTCCAAACTAAGTAGAAATGCTACCTAATGGTGGCAGTAATTTTCTGGCATCAAATCTATACTTTCATATTGCCTAGATTTTTAGAAAGGAAATTTGCGACATTTTGTGACCTTATAGAGAATTTTCGGCAATAAAACCGGCTCTTTGTGTCTTCTTCAATAGCACGCTGATTAAATTGTCTATCATTGGCAGCTTTCACATGTCTTTTTTGCAGGTCTCTTGAGGTGTTTTGGTCAATAAGGAAATTCAAATTAGTTTTGACTCAAATCAGATCGAGTGGTGATGCTTAAGGGTAATATCAAAGGGGCGGTATTTTTGCGGGAGTGGCACTTATTTAAAAATCTTCGACATATTTTCAAAATTAATTGCAATGGAAATATTTCCAAAGTCCTTTTCCCGTCAGCAGGATCTAAGAAACGTATTCATAATGAGGTACCTAAATAGCATACGTTGGTGGTAATGAATAATCATCCCAAATAATTTTTTTTTTCAAAACGCAACCTTCAATGTGGCTTTCTAATTTAGTAATTCTCCCTAATAAAATAATGATTATAAATAGATGTACGAGTCTAACGGTAGAGCATTCGATTATTCATTCAACTGCTAATGTCTCGAAATCATGAGAAAAACGATAAAATGTTCATTTATTGCGTTGTTTTCCCTTAATTAAATAGGAAGCATACGCGAGAAGGGAAATTGAATGGACACCGTGGGGGTGGGGTAGGGGGTGATGAAGTCACTTTTAAATGTATGAATTATATTACCGGGTAACTAAGGTAAAGCCACTCTTTTCGAAAAAAAGTTACAGATAAAAAACATATACAGCAAATCTAGTAATTGACTGGTTTTGAAAGTGGTATTTGTTAAGGACACTAGCCAGAAGGCTCATTTTAATTTAACTGATTATTGATTAGTTTTATAATTTTAGAATGATCGTAGATACGAAAATAGTTACAATGTTTATCTGTTTGTTTATATATTGGTTTTGTAATCGGACCTTTCGGCGTCACCACGCGCATATAGAAGCAAGTTTAGCGTCCCTGTAATCAGTTATTCATAAGTTTTTGAGTAGTCTCAGTAAACTTTCGTATTTTCGTTTCTTAAACCTTTGGCACAAGCGGGACCAATATCCAGATCGATTAATTGATTGATTATGAGATTGATCGTGATTTTGATCGTTGATTGTGGTTAGTGGTCGATTACTTGCAAGATTAAAGATTCGTGTAAACGGTCAACTTGGGTCT